TACCACCTGACTTGTTACCTTCATGCCAGGACCTCAAAAAGCACTATTGGAACCTACCAACAAGACATGGGTTTTGGATACTGGAATATGATGAAACCATGTATCATGGTACCAGAAATATGACACACTCCTAGAAAAGGGATATCAAAAGTGTCAGCCTCTGAGCCTTGACCAACTAAATCCAAAGGAGCTTCAAGATTGATTAATAAATAAAAGAAATAAAAAGTTATGATAAAAACATATCTATTGTTTCCATCTATCTGAAGACTAACATGTGTGTCTAGTTTCAAAGACAGCCAACAGTAATAACCATTACTGTTATAGAATACAATTACACCTTATGCCTTGTTTCAAAGGCAACCTAGGCCCTGTTTGGTTGTGATTATTTTACTGTGGTATTCGGAGCATCGCAGTAAAATAATTGCCAATTAAATTTGGACGTTTGGTAGCCCAAAGTTAGAGATTATCGTACCACATTATTTGGTCGATAATCTCACAATCTCAAGGTAAAAGTACAAACTCCTTTTTGGCGATTATTTCCGTACGTGAGAAGGGGACTTGTCCAATTTTGACCTCTTCCCATACTTGTGATTACAATCCAGGAAATCATTTTATCAACATCATCACCTCATTGATCTTGTTACTTCATCAATCACTCCACCTGGTCAATCATCAAAATCATCACTCTTTGTTATCATCGCTTCAACATTATCATTGTGTCTTCAAAACCATGGTTTGTTAATCTCAAGTTATCAAAATCATCATCTGTTGATATCTTCACTCTTTTTAACCCAGCAAGTAATGGGAGTGAAACTTGAATAATGCAAATAATGAGAATAATGAGAATGATGAGGATAACAAGATTGATGAGACAGATGAAAACATTGTGGATCAAGCTCAATTCAACAATGATGAAGTGGAAATAAAATGTAATTATATACATGAAACTTTCGATCTGATGACCTGTTTTGAAGAAGGTTCAGATAGATAAATTGAGGGACTAGACGAGATTTTGACAAACCTGATTGATGAAGAATCAATAATGAGAATTTTAAATCTTTGGTGTTGAATAAAAAAATAGTCGTCACAAGTGCTGTACTTTGGCTTTGGTTGTGAGTTGCCAAACAATGATTCCTAAAAACCACCGTTTATTTTTGTACTGCGATTAAATGGTGAGTTGGAAATTTTCCTGCATTATTTGCTCATTTCCTGTGGTACACTTTTACTGTAGTATGCCAAAATCAATCACAACCAAACGGGGCCCTAGAGTGCAATAATAAAAAAGCTTGATGGAGGTTACAGCCAAACCTCTCATGTACCCAAACAAAGATTTATATAGCCCAACCAGCTTTGTCTGTAATAAATTACAGTAGGGCTTAGAGTTTTTAGTGACAGTTTTACTTCCATTATAATCAAGCTTCACCCATAGTTCAACCATTGTAACTGATTACCTTAGCCGCCAACTTTCTCAACTTTAGTTTAGTTATTCTTCTGTGATCCTACATAACCAGTAAGATCTCTGTCAGGACTGAGAAGTAAGAATTGACTAGACCACTTACTAACTCCACTGCCTGCATAGTTGTCTTGGCAACAAACATCCAAGGAGTCCTCATATGCCCCCTGAGGAAAAGGGCACCCAAGGAATGCCTCTGAGGCAAAATTTGGCCATTGCGGTTGCCTCGTATTGGATCCTTGGATAGAGCTTCCCTTGGGGTCAAAATCCGAGGTCTCTTCAGATTTTCACATCCGAGGTAAATTTGCAGGCTGTGCTCCCTGAATAAGCCACCCTGACAAGAAGCCACACATCCGGTACCCTTGCCATGTTTTTTTGCTTTGGCAAAGTGTGATTTGTGATTTTTTTCCCTGAGACCCAAGATAAATTGAACCAGCTTGGTGATCTCACATGATACAGGCACAGGGGCACAAATAGATGCTCACATTGGGGTGTGCATCAAAATTCTCTTTTTTCTTTCAACATTTGTTCAATTTTACTTCCAAAATTTCTTTCCCTATTCTTCTGTGTTTCTTTCTGCTTGTCAGCTGATTACATGATAAACAGGAACTGAGCGGATGACCTGGGCCTTCCTCAGGAATCATTCCTTAGCAAAGAAGCCTGATGGAGGGCTGGCCCATCTGCTCACTTCATCTCAGCCCCTCAGCTGATCCTCAGTGGAATGCCTTGGAGCCTGCTGATCCAGGATTTTGGACAAGGTTCTGAGCTTTTCTGAGTATGCAGTGACTCATGAACTGATTCTGAGTACTAATCTAAGAGACTGAGCTCAAAGAATAGTCATCCAAGACAGAAATGAGCATTCTCCAGAAATGTACAGCAAAATGTGTGCAAAACTGCCTGATCACCTGAGCACTACAAAAATTGTCAATTGAAGGAATCTGAAATAAAAACAATCTGTTTTGGAGAATTTAGAAAAGTGTACAATTCTCACCTGTATGTGAGCTCCAATTTTGGCTCCCGTGACACCAGGTTGTGAGCATATAGCAACCCCCTTTTTACAAAAGGGCTCTTCTTTTTACCTCAACAATGTTCACTTAAAAAAAAGTATGTTTGGGTCCAGAAGTGAGTAGATTTGAAGACGGATCCCATGCATATTTCTCCAGTTCCTTACTTCAATCATGCCTCATACTGGCCAAAGGCAAGAAGTTTCTGTGGAGCTTGCTCAAGCCTCTGCAAAGGTGTTACCTGTCCTCCATACCACTGTGCAACCCCCATGTTATGTTGGTCTGTATGCCTGCCTTTTTCAAAAACTCAATCAATCAAAATCAAATTGTAATCAATTGAAATCGAAATCAAGTCATTCATATTACAATCTTATTCATTTGATTTGGAATCTTTCAATTTGAGAACTTACTAATTTATGTCAAGATCAAGTCCCAATCAATCAAAATAATATGGGGACAAAACCATGTTCTGATCTAAGAAACTGATGCCATCATATAATCTTATCACTTTCAATCAATCAAGTCAGATACAAAAAGATAGGAATTTGAACTTTTACATGGTTTGTATAGCAGAAGCCTGAGAATGATTCCTTCAAATTTTTATACTTGTATTCATCAAACTGTTTTGTTGCATACATAGTCTTTGTTCTTTTCAATTTGATATTTTCATTATCATTGTTACTGTCTGCATTGTGATTCACTTGAAAGTGCTTTTTGTGAAGTTGTTCTTTGGATATGATAGAAAGTTGATTATTATTGGCATTTTCATATCCAAAGGAAGATAAGCAAGACAAGGTGGAAATGAGAAGAATGAAGTTATTTCTACTTGATGCACTCAAGGATAATGAATTATCAAGTCAAATGACTGAAAGTTCATCTTTACAAAATAGAAAACAATGGTAAACTTATCAATGATTGTGAAATGCAAGTTCAACCTTTGACAAATTTACCAAACGTCTTCACATAAGCAAATTTTATACATACACACATGGTGAGAAATTTTCTCATTGTGATGCAAACTTTTTATATGTAACTTTATGCAACTCTTGTTACCAAAGTGGGTGCACATCGAGTACCCTATCTATATAAGTATTGTGTTGTTCATCTGAAAAAGATACTGCTGATGGTCACACTGGGGGTGCAGAAAAAAAACACGCCAAACAATGCGCCTCAAAAAACTTGAAAAATTGGTCGGCGTGCCCAAATTGGGTATGGGTATCCAAACCTAACAAATATGGTGAGGGGGGCTCTGTTAGGTTTGATTCTACCATCAGACATGCTCCCAGGTTTGAGGATCATTCTGAATTCATGTATATACAGATCCATATTCAACAGCCAGTTCATCTTTGTATCCAATCAACGATATGCCAAAAGTTCAGAAAACACACAGTGCACCTGGAGCTTGGAACCCCAAAGATGACAATTTTGCCTAGTTGTATCTCTTCTGTCATCTCATTTTTTGTTTATTAAAGTATTTTAAGATCTGAATTTTTCAAAAGACAAGCCTTTCTCGAGTTTGGCTCAATTTTTGCTTTAAAAAGATTGTGCCCGGCGCGCCAGTGGCACCCAGGCGTGGTTTTGATCCAACAAAATGTGCATAGGCGCTCCTTCTAAAAAAATGCTGCACCCCCAGTGTGAGCTGATGGGATTCAGACTTTGGTGATGAAATCCACTCCTTGGATATTTTCCCTCTGGAACAGGAAGTGTCAAGCTGTCTGACCAACAAGCTTATAACATGCATATTCACATCATAGAATATATACCTTTTGCATTTTCTCCCAAGAGAATTCCAGGTATTAAGTCTTTCCTTGGGCAGGTTTGATTTTGGCCAGCAGACTTGCATGAGCTTGCATGTACAGTCAAGCCCGCGCAATTGCATACCCGCGCAGATGCATAACCTGTGATAATGCATAAAAAAAATTCTTAATCTTGATCCTTTTTACTGCCAAATTTGACAATGGAATTGCATAACCCGTGAAAATGCATAGCAAAAGTCTTCCACCAAAATTATGTGATTGCGCGGGTTTGACTGTAAGTGGTTAGCTATCCCAAAGGCCAAAGGTTAAAACACACCAATGAATGAGTACATCTTATCTCATACATGCTGAGGAATAATCAAGGACCTATTCAAACTCTTCTCCTTTGGCTACTACCACATCACATTGTTTCTCAAGATAAATGCACTTTCAGTACATTCTGATATCCATTACATATACTGCTACTTTTATGGGCCTGCTTCTGACTTGTTGAAAAGAATTTCACATCATGAACAGTAACTTGTGAATTGATTTTGATTTTATGAATTTATCAGAAATTGATGGATGGATTCTCAAAAATTTGAAAATTCCAGCAAAAGCATAATCTGAGTGGACTCGACGGGGAGCCCGACAGATACCCGACAGGATATCGGCTTCGGGGCTCGCGCCGATTGAAATGTCTGAGGGCGAATTTTAAGTGCTCTCGCAATACAACTGCAACTCCACAACCTCACTCGATCGAAAACCAATTCAACAAGACCATCATCATAAACGAAACGCACCAACATGAATCAATCTGAAAGCTCATCCAACGATAAACCTCAAAAAGTCGTCGTACTAGTCACAGGCGGTGAGATTATAGTTCCATTCATCCTCATAGCAACTTGCAAACTCATCTGGAACAATGTCTTGGAACACATGAAATAGGTACTGGATTAGTAGGATCAGCTTTAAAAGATGTGATTGAAAAAGAACCAGTAGGGTCAAGATTTGGAAAACGAAGTCAAGACGAAGAATGGATATTTTTATCTGGATCAAAAGATGGAGATTTAAGAGAATTAAATCAAACTTTATCAATTTTTGAAAAATATAAACCTACTCATGTTTTACATTTAGCTGCTCTAGTTGGTGGTTTATTTGCAAATTTAAAACATAATGCTACTTTTTTACGTGATAATGCTAAGATTAATGAAAACGTTTTATGGGCTTCTAAAGAATTTAAAGTCAGTTCAATCGCTTTCTTCATTTTTTTACTACAATCATACCTTTTGATCGAGAAGAGCTTAATGGTTATTTGTCTCTTTGAATGTTTAGTGTCAAAAAGTTGTTTCCTGCCTTTCAACTTGTGTCTTTCCAGATAAAGTCACTTATCCGATCGATGAAACCATGGTACACAACGGTCCACCTCACTCTAGTAATTTTGGTTATGCTCATGCTAAACGAATGGTAGATGTACAAAACCAGTTGAGTGAACCTTTTGATTTGCCTTCAGATCTTTGTACGAAATTAACCTTTCATCCTTTTTATTTTTGATCGATGCCTGTAGTGCTTATCACTCTGAATTTGGCTGTAATTTTACGAGTGCGATCCCTACTAACATCTTTGGTAAATCCTTGTTCTTTTAAAGAAGATTATATGCTAAGTCCAAACCCGATCACTAAAGAATTCATCGTTTGATATCGTTTCTTTCCTATAGGTCCACATGATAATTATGATCTAGAAGATTCACACGTGATTCCAGGTTTAGTTCATAAATGTCTTCTAGCCAAAAGTAAGTCCGTTGAAAGAAATGATCTAGATTCCATTCAGAATTCTGATAGTCAGATTAATTCTCTCTCTATCAGAAAACAACACTCCATTCACAATCTCAGGAACAGGTAGTCCATTACGACAATTTATTTATTCTAGAGATTTAGCTAAATTGTTTGTATGGCAGTTATGGGAATATAATGAAATTGATCCACTTATCCTTTCAGGTTAGTCTATTTTCTGGATTTTAAAATCTAGTCTTTAGTTCTCCAAGATTCCTTCTAAGCGTTCTACTCTTTTATCTCCGATCCTTGGGTTTTAGTTGGAGAAGAGGACGAAGTTTCAATTAAACAAGTAGCGGACGCGATTGTGAAAGCTATTGATTTCAAAGGAGATTATTCTGTGAGTCATCTTGTGAAAGAAATAGTTTACATGTTAACGAAATACTTTTGGAGACTCGAATTGTGACATTTCGTTTCATCTCTCTCTATTTAGTTTGATTCAACTAAAGCCGATGGTCAATATAAGAAAACAGCAAGTAACTCAAAACTAATGAAACTTTTACCTGATTTCAAGTTCACTCCATTTGAGGAAGGTACATAAACCCCTCCTTTTTGAATTTGTTCATCTCTTTGGATTTGGATAATTTACTGATCAATCTCTTCTTGATCTTATCTAATTAGCTCTTCGTGAAAGTGTGGATTGGTTTGTGAAGAATTATGATACAGCTAGAACAGGTTCAACTAATAAACTTAAACAAATCTCTTAATCAAAAACACCCAAGACGTTTTCAACATTTCTTCTTTCTTTTGAAATCCTCCTGTTCTTTTACATTTTTCTCTCCTGTATTTTTTCTTTCTTTTGAACTTACATAGTTTCTTAGACATTTGAAAGGGATTTCTGAAGCTTTCCTTTTTTCCTCATTTATCTTATGGGAACCTCTTTTAATCAGGCATCAGTGATAGCATAGCCTTTAATGGGCAAAAAAAACTTGACTGAAAACATTCTGACAAGTTTTGGACTTTAGTGGCAAGGAGATACATTGTATGCACAGTTTCCACCAAACGTACCATCTCAGGTCAGGTAATCTTGATGATATCAAATTTACCCTCACCTTTGGTGGCAAGTGTGGATACAATGTATCTTTTTACCACTAAAGTCCAAAACTAGTGTGGAACTCCTCTGAGGCATGTCTCTTGGAAGATGTTTTCCTTTTGCTTCATAGATCAGGTCAGATGCTGAATTAGGAGTGGATTTATGCTGGCTTCCATTGATGGGGTAGATATGGAAGGTGGAAAGGATAGGAAGTGCCATACATTTGAAGTATTGTGAAGGGTAGGCAATCATTCCCAATATCTCCAAGGCAAACAGACAACAACTTGAAAAATGATACATAGAAAGGAGACAATGACTTTACCTAGTTCCAAAGGATAGAGGGTGGGAGATCAGTCCTGATTTCCCTAAGGAACCACATGGGGGAAAAATGAAAACAAGAGGTACATATATATAAGGTCTGGATGAGTAAGCTTACCCAAAGTCACAGGTAGTTGATGACATATCATACCAGGTCTGTTGGGTCTGACTAGTTTGAAATTAGGGCAAATTCAACCATTACAAACAAATTTACCAACAGTATGGTTGATTTCACTGAACGTAAGGAAGTGTCCGATTGGGGCTTGACCCCGATTGATGAATAATTTGGCCCCGTGGGGTCAAATTTTGAGATACAAAATTTGAAAAGTTCAATGATGGACTGAGTTATGAACCTCAATCACCTCTTCTTTCTTTGACCAAGCCTCATTTTATTATTGTTCTGCTTTTGCACCAATGCCACGTCCCTCCAAACGATGCAAGGGTCAAATTAAGCGCCGCCATGCAATGGAATCATATGAATCAAAGACAAAAAAAACAAAATATTCCCAAGGACTTTTAAACAATGAAAGCAACACAAAAAGTGCAGGTCCTCTTGTGATTGGTGTAGATGCCAAAGTCTCTTCAAGCTTCACCATGTCAATATTTGTGTAGCACATCGACGTGCACACACGGAGGGTTTTGAAACAAATCTCAAAGTCTTTTGGTCGGATTTAGACTGAGATTGCCGTTGAGCACCTTTTGTGAATAGTGATTTATTCAAAGGATTTGCGGAATCTTTTGTGGTCAGCAGGAGTCAACTGACTTTCAACCTCCCAGGTGATAAGGGGAAGATGTGCTTGTTGTGGTACCTCTTTGATGGGTCTTTACAGGGTATAAGGAAAGTCTTTTGTGTGTGCACGTCGACATGCTACAAGGATATTTACATGGTGTGAGGATTCAGAAACATTGGACAGCTTTTCGGTGTCACTTGAATCAATTTCTGACGATGGATCTGAAGATGGTGTTGACAATGATTTCAAGAAAGATCCTTCAGATCCACAAATCAAACTCAAAGGCTATGATAATACCCTTTCTGAAACTCAAGTTAGTCAAACCAGAACAGTAGACACATCACCTCCAAACCCAACCCCAAACCCAAAATCGGCGCATCAGATTGAAGTTATCAACAAGCAATGGCAAGAGTTGCATGACGCAATCAAGGATGCTACAGACTACTACAATCAGAATCCATCTTTGAATTTGGTCGCAATCCATCAAGCTCAGGAGCTAGCAATACTAGCTGAATTTAATAACCTAAGGAAGCAGCTCAATCTTGTTAATCCACGTAGTTCATCGATTTCAGCCTCAAAAGAAGTAGCATACTCATACCTTGGACGAGCACTTGACCTTGACTTGGAGTTCAAAACTGGAAAGAGTCACGCTGAACAAATTCGAAAACAATCAAAATACATTGTGATTCATAGGTGCTTACCAATACGACAGAATGGCCTGTGTTCACCACCTAAGTCAATCTTGGATGATCCGAGGATAGAGCGGATGGTCTGGGAATGGATTACAAGCGAGAAGACTGGTAAGGTATGTGCTTTATCTAAATTCTTCTGCCAACTGTAAGACATTAAGTTATGCTTTCTTGATCCTTGTCATTAGGTCAGGCCAGCAGACCTTGTCCAGCATCTCATTGAGGTAATCTTACCCCAGTTTGACGAGTATAAGGATTCAATCTGTGCTTCCACAGCTAATAGGTGGATGCACACACTTGGATCATCAGTCACACTCCTCACAAAATGTCTCTATTACGATGGACACGAACGTGCAGATGTTGTGTTATATCAACAAAAATACAATAATCAGCTCTCTGAATTGATCAAGCAAGAAGTTACTTATGTTGGTAAAAATCTTGATCAAGTTATCAATCCGGTTCTAGACAACACAAATCGCGAGATTGTCCGAGTTTATCAGGATGAAGCAACATGCCATACTGGCAAAGAGCCAAAATCGGCGTGGCTGGCTAAAGGGGACTGTGCACTCAAGAGAAAGAGTGAGGGAAAACTTATTCATGAATCTGATTTCACTGAGAAAAAACACGGCCGGCTCGTCATACCCAAAGATACACCATGTACTCTTCCATTTAAGGATGCAGTGGTTGTCATCTACCCAGGCAGCAACGGTGATGAATGGTGGAATTGTCTTCAACTTATTAAGCAAGTCCAAACACGAGCAATCCCAATCTTTGAATTCCTAAACCCCGGATGCCAAGGTCTCTTCATCTTTGACTGCTCATCAGCACACGAGTCTTTTGCGCTGGATGCTCTTCGAGTAGAAAAAATGAACCTTGGCCCAGCTGGATCACAGGCAAAGCTACACGACACAGTCATCCCCTCCGATGATCCCAACATCCCAGCCGAACTTCGTGGAACCATACAATCCATGAACTTCCCCTTCGATCATCCAGATAAGCAACTCAAGGATAAGCCTGACGGAACCAAACAATTCCTTGTTCTTGCTGGGAAGCCCAAGGGAGTGCAGCAGGTACTGGCCGAGCGTGGCTTATGGGACCACTACAATACTATCCGGACCTCAAAAGGACTCAAACCCCTTGGATTGAGATGTGCTAAGTGTGCACAGACAGGCCGTGCAAAGGATCAAATCGCTCGAGCGGAGCGCTTGATCCGAGATAACGACCAACCAAATTCTGAAGATATAATAACCACAACTGAAGCTGCACCAGCCCACGATGAGGTTATGTATTGTTGCTCAGCCAAGATCTTATCCAATCAATCGGACTTCGAGAAGGAGAAACCCAGCCTTCAGATGATAATTGAACAAGCTGGTCATTTATGTATGTTTCTGCCGAAGTTCTACTGCAAACTCAATCCAATTGAGCACGAGTGGTGCTATATCAAGGGCAGTAAGTTCATCTCCCTTTCTCAACTGAATCTCTTTTAGCTGAACACATTTTTCTTCAACGTAACTTCAGAGTTTCGCAACTGCAGTCACACAGCAAATACCTTAAAACAATCGAAGGGTCTATGGGAAAAGGTCAGGACAAGCTGCCCCCTCGTAACCATCCGTAGGTTCTTTGACAGGTGCGATAAAGAAATGAATCACTTGATGTGAGTCTCTTATCAGTCTCACTTTGATTGGCCCGATTTTACTCGTCATTTCATAGATCTCATTAATTTTGATGATCTTAATTGATTGTAGGCAGAAGCCAGTGCGACCTGATCCCAGTGTCAAGTCTTATAAATCTCACCGAGTTGTTGCTCGCACAACTAGAGAAGACCTCGATATCTAACCATTTCTTTTGAGATTTACCTTTCCGATTTCCACATTTTTGCCTTTTTTCTTTCTCTCAAGGCTCGGTAACCATCATACATGTAATCCAATCAGTGCCCACTTGTATTTCATGCTTGAGGAATGTAGATACGTGCTCAAAACCCCAAACAAGTCATGAAATGAGATAAAAAATTAATAGTCATTTTTTTCCCGTAAAAAGTTAATTGGGCATAATACCAGGTGCAAGCATTTCACATATGTTGTCAGATTTTAAAAAAGTTGTATTTTCAGGGAGGAGTAGTGTTTTGAAAAAAAAAGGAAAAAGATCGAATGGATCAATCTGAAGAGATATTCTGTGAAAGCCGTGCACCCAACAATTTGGAATCTGGTCTCGGACCTTTGAAATGTTAACTTTTGACGGAGTAGTAGTGTTTCACATCCTCGATCGGACACTTCCTTACGTTCAGTGAAATCAACCATAGTGCAGATTTGCTATGAACCTTCAGATACAACAGGTTCCATTAATCTTGACACAAAAATTGCCATTGAATTGCTGAAGTTTGTTTGAAAAAGTCCCTCAAAGTTTGTGAAATTGACTCCAGATATTTATTGGACTATTCTATTGGACTTGAACAATAACTCACCCAAACATATTTCAAAATGGCTATAATTAAACCATCCAAAGAGAATCAAATCACTTTGAATAAACTTGCTTACTAACTGGTTCCAACCAAATCATCAAAGTGGTCCTTGGTTATCATATGAAACCATATTCATCCTGCAGACAAAAATTTATATACTTTACATCATATATCAGATCTTTTTCCCCTTCAATTCACAAAACAAAGATCATCATAACCAAACAATCTACAATGAATAAGCCATTGACAAACATTATAACAAACTTTGATGAATTTTCTTCTTGAGTTTCAATCCTGTTTTAAGTATGATATATTCAAAAGTCGATCAGCAAAGAGTTGATTGACAAAGTGATAAAGTAATTGTAATTGTAAGAATTAAACGAATGACTTACCCAAAGTTTAATCAAACCATCCCAACTAGCAGTCACCAATTTAGACTAAACAAAAACAAAAACAACAAGCCAAAAAAATCAATCCAAAACCCAATTGTACGAAAAATCATAAAGAAGAACTACTTACAGTTTCATGTGGTAACCAAGCATGACTAATCACCACTTGATCATGACACTTCAATCGTTTTGAAATTCGACAACTTTTCCAATCCCAAAATACCATATTCCCATTCCCATCACCAGAACTTAAGAACCGTCCATCAGGTGAAAATCCTACTTCACATGCATATCCTGCAATCGTATGACCAGCGAATCGTTTTTTTCGATTTTGTTTGAATGAATCTGATGAGTAAATTAAGATTTGATTATCCAATGATTGCATCGCTAACCATTTATCTATTTTTCCATCAAAAAAACAAATGAAATTGAATCAGACGTTGAGAATAAAATTTTGAACTTGTAAGAGGAAAATAAAAGAAATGTATAAAGAAAAAATCAAATCACTATTTGGATGAATTCCTACAGCTGGCATACTATGCATAGCTGGTTCTGCGATATATTTGATGACTACTGGAATATCAAAATCCCATGCTCTTATCGTTTTATCATCTGAAGTAGTCACAAATCTTCGATTTTCATCCACGAATGTGATCGTATTTCTGATCGAGAAAAGAAGTGTATCAGGAGACCATAGTTGTTTTGAATTGTTTAAATCTTATACTTACACTGGGCCAAGATGTTGATCGTATTCTTGAGTAATGTCTCCAGATCTCATATCATACTGATGTTAAGAAATCAATCAAGATTTGAGGGTATCATGTCGATCAAGAAGAGAAAGCATCAAAAGTCGAAAGTCAGAATCTTTCAATCTGAAAATGATATCGAAAGATATCTAGAATCTCACCTGTATGATCTTCTTATCTGACATACCAGCCAAGAAGATATGTTGTTTTTCTGGATCTGGATGAAATTTCACACAGTACGGAATCTTTCCATTTGAGAAGGCCTGTACACAATGTCCTACACAATCAAAAAAGTAAGCTGGTTAGCTTGACAAGAACCGAAAGAATTCGATCAATCACTTACCAGTCTCTGTATCCCATAGTTTGATCTGTCGATCGTAAGCTGCAGACAAAAAGCGTTTACCGTCGTTGGCAAATGTAACATCTCTGACAGCTTTCGAATGACCCATAAATGTTCTCAAACATTTTCCATCATGGTAAACATCCCATAACTGAGCGTAGTTCAGGGACGTCAGTATTGATAATCTGCAATATCCCTCAGATATGGATGGTCCACATACCTTGACTCGTGAATCCATACTAGCACTCAGTAACAAATGTCCACTTCCAGGGAAGAGCCTAATGGCCGAGACACCCTTAGTATGACCGGCCCAGGTATGTACACATCGTTTAGGCACGAAACATTCAGTTGGAGGATCAGTTGTCAATAAGTCAGTATCCAGGTCGGTAGGTATATGCATATACGTTCGACCTTGATAATCGTGTAAGCTTTTAGCGTGTAATGTCGATTTCTCTTCTCCATAAGCAATTTCACGTTTCGCTTGATTAGAAGAAGTAAATTGTTTCTTGGCAGCAGAGGCAGCAGAGCTAGCACGTCTAGCAGCTTCATATTCTTCTTCATCTGGACCAACAGGTTCGATATGTTCATCATTCCAACCTGCCCAAGGACCTTTATATTCACGTGATTTATTTGAACTTGAAGCTTTTGGCTTAGGATCAGTTGTGCCATCTTCTTGTTGAACTTCTTCTTCTTCATCTTCATCTTCATCAAATATACCTAATTCTCCTTTATCATGTCTTTTCCGTTTAGTAGCTTTTTGGGCGGCTTTTGTAATTCGAATTTCAGATGCAAGTGTACCTCCATTTTTGAATGCCGCATGTACATCTCCTACGAAATTTAATGATGGGTTTTCAGATGTTGATGCTAAGATTGATGGGTTTTTGGCGTATTTTAATACATGAAACGTTCTTTGTTGTTGATTAAAATCTACATCAGTCATGAATTCTTCTTCAATATATCCTATGGAATAAGAAAATTGATGGTCAGATAAGATGAATCAAATGTTTTAGACACAAAGAATGTATTTGGGTATTTACCGTTTAAAGTGTTCATCTTTTCTAATTTCCTACTTGAGAATGGATTTTGTGGTCCTTGCTTTGGAAGTGTCATATCTGAATATCTCACATTCACATTCATCTCTGTATCTGTTGGTCTTAGAATAAGAGAAGATGATTCATCTTCCTATTCAAAGTAAGAATTAAAGAGTTAGTCTTGACGGATCTTGAAAAAGCGTATCAGATGATCGAACCGTGACGTACAGTCGAAGGAAGTACATCTGGGATCGAAACGATTTGTCGTTTTTCTAATTTGATGCTTGGGATTTTAGATTTTGAAGCTTCACTTGAGGCGATCGAGTTCTTGATCCCAAAGACGTCACCATTGATATCGATCTCTTCATCGTCTCCTTCTTCTGTTTCTTGTTCATGCTTTTGTTCTTCTGATTGAGATAGTTGTTTGGTTTCTGTGATTTCTTCATCTGATCCATATCCAGATACGAGTGCTTCCATGTTGATTGAGTTCAAAGCTGTCTGACTAGAATGTGAATGAATTGAATTCGCAAGAGTGGTTTGGGTCGAAATTAGAATTCATCTTGCATGTTCGACCCGTAAAGCCCGTAAAGCCCTCACACCATCCCTTAGCACGGTCCCGGATCATCATGAACACTAATTATTGACTTGGCTGTGATTTGTCAAAGAGAAATTCTCGATGGAGTTGCATCCATAATTATTGCATGCTCTTTGATGCGAAGTTTTCTGATCAAATTTTGTCAGGAGCCAAAAGTACGCGGAAACTGATCGAAGAAAGCATGAAAGCAAGCTCAACTTCAAGTCATAAACAAAATATTCATTGACAAAAGAAATTGGTATTTACATTGTAGAAGGTGGATTTCTCAGATAAATCGAACAAAGTATTCCAAAAGTATGATCACAAGTTCACAACAAACATGTGTGAAAGGAAACTTGGGTGTAGCAATACCTCTCCGGAGTAAGTATGAATATGCAACGAGATACATATGGACCTTAGATGTCTATTGGAAAATAATTTTTAGAAATCAGGTGATGTGTTTTTCTATCTTCAGTACAAGATGTATACCATGTGAAAACTAGACTACAAGAAAGTTCAGAGACATGATGCGTTGTTACTCTATGGGTATAATGGATTTCAAACCTTGAAGAAAACATTGCAAAGCCAGCGGTCCATGCTATTGTTTACAGACTGCAATCAAGGGTGCGATGGTATTTTCTCTAGACACTAGAATTAGGATATTAAACATTTGGCAACCAGATTCAGGTTCAGGTAAGAAAAGAGGTTGAAGAATTGAAACAAATGATATATTTTCAAATTTGATAAGGTTTTTTATACCAAACTTTCAATTGTTTTAAACTTTGAGGTAAAGTAAATCCTAAACCAAAAGATTGAAGGTAAAATTCTTTGAGATTTGATAAGATTTGATTAGAAAAGTTTGAAAGTTTATCAGAGTTAATTTGGATGATTGATTTGGGTTGAGGAGAGGATGAGGATTGAGAAGGAAGATTGAAACAAGATTGTAATTCGTGATCTAGATGTAATTCTTCATGCGATACTGATTCTTGGTGTGATAGTCCGTGCGATTGTGATTGTTCATCAGACTTAGATTTATCCGATTGTGATATTCGATCTTCACACCATCTCATTAACTTGGTTCCATATGATTCAGGCTTCCAAATAGATTGAGTCAAGATAGTAAGAACGGATCCAGATTGAGGAATTCGTTCCCTTAGTCTTGTCCCCAAGATAATATCAGTTGAGAATCGATCACCGATAACAATTAGATTTGGAATTTGATCTGTTCTATTTTGGAGTTTTGTGTCGGGTCGAATCATCACTTTAGCTGAATGATTATGTTTTTGATCAAATCCACCAAAGTAAGATTGGATCGAATGAATAACCGATTTAGCCGGTTTAGGATGATCGTGTATCAAGATGGTAGAATTGAGTTTTCGAGTTAAAATCTCTGCCTATCAATTCATTCCGAATAGAAGAGTATGAGTTGGAAGGATGATAAATATTAGTATCGTCATTTCTACTAAAGAAAAGGAGAGACTCAACTAGTAGAAGTTGATGATCAACTTTGGTATATCCTGCCGAGTTACTTACTACTAATACATTTTCATGACCGAACGTTTTCAGGCAATCATTCCATGAGTGTCTCAGTTCATCTATCAAGCGATCATCGCCTGCTCTAGTCTGTGTGACGATGGGATATACAAATGTTAGTTCTTGATAAATTTGTCTTGGAACTCAATAGTGTTTCATAAAGAAATACTTAACTAGACAGTTATCTTTATCAATGATGATACCATTGAATCCACATCGTTTTAATGAAGTCCAATTACAATCTCGAATATCTGTTGAAAATAGCAAATGATAAGTTTAGATTCAAATGAAGACTGCAGCGAACGATTGAACTTACCATTAATTTTGAAATTGGGTTGAATGAGTTTTGAATTTAAATTTGGTTTCTTGATAAGAATCTTACCTATCTCGATTATTGCACTAAAGTTGATCATCTCGATATGCTGAGGAAATTACAACCGATTCGAAATATTCAGGAAGATGTTGGCCACCATATACCTTTGAAAAACCATACATTTCAAGTTCAAACGTTGTTAAACCCATACATATCCTGATATCGTTCACTCAATTCTTCTGTCAATCATGATCTCGTGCGACGCCTTCCAAATCTCTTCCATTGCTTCAAATCCCCAGTACTCCTCATCATATCCCTGAGACATAATGTCATACCGCAAAGACCCAACGATAATCGCATCTCTTTTCAATTCAATGCATCCAATGGACAAACCTACTTACTCCGTGGTTCTGTGTCATTTTTAGTTTGGACGGGAGAAAACCAGACATGTAGGTTTTGCTACACGTTGATTGAAGAAGGTCTTTGAACGAGAATCTGGCCCGTCCCGTTTGTTCCAATACGGCATTGTCAATTTTGGAACTGGTCCCAAATTACTTTGCTTTACCTTTGTCTACGCGGCTGTTTCCAATATGGAAACAAGGAATTGAAATATGACACGAGGATCTGAGATTGGAGGTTATTCTTAGATATTTGTATTGAGCATCTTCAACAAAATCCTTAATCTGATGGAAGAAGCTTAGTGTAAAGAACCTCTGATGTTCCTCACTGTGGGATAGATTTATAATCTCAAAACTGGATGGGAAGCTCTAAATTAGAGAGCTGAGGGAATTCTAGAACCGATGTGCAGTTCTGGATCCGAAAGGATGATGATCAAGACCTTAGTCTAGATTCCCTCTTACAGGAATTACAATTAAATGGTATAGAGAAACAATAAGAAAGATAGATAGAAAAGGTTCACCTGGCTCCGACAGGATGATAATCAGGATGTTAATCTAGATTCCCTAAGGAGCCGGAACTTGAAGCGTATGTGTCAGAGAAATACTCATTCACAAAGGGTGCTCTGGAATCACCTGAGTATAAATCCAACCAAAATCTTTTCAAATTTTCATCAAAACTCTCCGTGTGTTCATATTGATGTGTAACAAGGATACCATGACATGGTGTTTTTAGATGGCCCAATTCAAAAATACAATGGTTCATGAGAATAGTGAATTTTCAAAGACATCCAACACATTGCTTAAATTCTACAAACACGGAGAGTGGCTCATCCAGTTTTGACTGCTTTGAAGTTTCTGGAAAGCTTGGATTCACTGCACAGATTCATATGTCTATATGACTTGAAGTTGAGACAATTGAATACAAGAGTGAAGGCTTACTTGTTCTGCAATCTTTATTGGCTTATGTAATACATTGATTGTGGAGCACCAAATGAGTGAAAACATGAAAATGCAAAAAAAATGAAACTTCCCCTATCAGTCCTGTTGAGCTTATCCCAAGACTGGGTCTGCTGGACCTGACAACCCTTTTCCTGTCATCACTCTCCATGGGTAATCAGTGACACCTGTTCTGACTCAGCCAGCTCAATCCACAACCTTTATTTCTCCATATTAGCAAGAAATTTTTGCTTTCAAGTTATCACAAGTGATATTCTATGGGATGTGAAGCTACTGGAGACTTTTCACTTGAATAACTTCTGCAGAAGAATTGAGTTGTAGAGATTGTTTGAAACAACCAATAAATGTATCAAACAACTTACTCATGACAGTTGGAAGATACAACTATAAAGAGTTTCATAATTATTTCCTTCAACATCATTACTAAATATCTACAACAGTCATGATTATACTCTCAAAAATCATAAGAGAACAATGAATGGTAAAATCAAATTGAAAGGAACAAAGGGATCTTCTCTCAAGGAGGCTTGAGATAGCATGAGATAAGCTCAACAGGCCTTTTAAGGGAAGTTTCATTTTAGTGACTGTAGTTTGTAATTCAATAACGATTACAAAAAAATTCCACACTTATTCTTGTATGTAACTGCCTCGAGTTCAAGTCATGAAACTGAGATATGAAGCTGTGCAGTGCATCCAACCTTTCCGGAAACTTATGCCCCACTTGGAATCTATTGGTGGCCCTCATCATACCACAATGCAATCACATCAAGCTTACCAATCCAACATGCTGTGCTGTCATACTTATCTATCTCTGCTTATTCTTCTGTAGGTAAGTTCATTACAAAAGTTGAAACTCTGCTTGGCATATATGACCTGTTAGGGATTTGGACTGCACAATGGCATTCATCAAATTCCAATATAAACTTTTGAATATTTCAGGCAACCAAACATGTTGAGACCAGAGTGTTTCTTGAGTGATGTTGCAATTGATGCGCTTGATAGATTCTATGAAAGAAACATGTCATAGAATGCAATCTTTCATCTACAGCCCCATATGTTGCAAGTGAGCTTTTTTCACCACTGTGCTACAATCCCATAAATACAGCTACTGCTTGACCTGGTGTTCCTCTTTCCGTGCCACAATCTTTCCCTTTGTTTATCGTTCCCTTCTACATAGTCAAGCTACATCTCAAGAGACACACTATAGTTGAACTAGGTCTTCATCTCATCCTGTCTTGAAGTTCATATCATTGAACACCATTATGCAATGCGCATCTATCCTATGTGTTCTTGTTTTAACCTTCTATTCCACTAAACTAAAGCCGGTCAAAATCAGATTCCCTGGAGGAAGTTCACCACAGCTCCCTTCTTCCAGCCTTCCCTTCCAAGAAGGTGGACCACACTCCAAGTGCACCTCATATAACACCACCAAGAAAGCTGAAAATTGCTTGCCTGACAATTGGCACAAGGGGAGATGTTGAGCCCTACATTCCATTGTGCAACGGGCTGAAAAAAGAAGGTCACTTGTGTAAAATTGCCACTCATGCTGAATTCAAAGATTGGATTGAATCATATGGTAGCAAATTTGCAAGCATAGGTGGGAGCTCAGTGGAGCTCATCAAGCATGCCACTGAATATGGTCAGTTTGAATTTCTTTTTGAGGATCTTGAAGGGTCAGTCAATGACAACATTATCAATAAAACTACCTGTATCTTGAGATACAAGGTAATTTGAGTTGGTTATTTCAAAGGAATTTCATCGTGCAGGTGATCCAAGCCAACACACTTCCAATATTCTCTGTGGAGCAGAAACACTCTGGGATGAATTTCTGTGGAATAAGCATCCATGCTTGCACTTATTGATTTGAAGATTTTTGGTGGTGCTGACGAGTATTCTCAAATGCCCAAGCCAATACTGATCCATGACACACTGCTTCTCATACAGGTGTTCTGACACCCAGTTTCTGGAAAACAGGTATCTCAAAGGTAGGTTGACATGTATCATGAAGGATCACAGCAAAGTCTGACCAAAAATCTATGTTTGTAGTTTGGCAATTGGTACCAAGAACTACTACAGATGTCCTACAATGCTGTCAAAGATCATGACTTTTTGATTGAAACTCCTAGTGCCTTTGTGGGGACAAATTTTTGAAGCTTTGAGAATACCTTATTACAGAGCTTTCTATATGCATTGGACTCAAACAAGCCATTATCCTCAGGGATTTTTCCCTCAAGCTGCCCGACACACAGTCGTCTCTGACATAACATCTGTGCTGTAAGCCATACTCCATCAAAACCCATACAAATTTGGCCATCTGCAGAAAAATTGCAGGGAAACTGGGTACATAACCCATAGCTTTGTAGTACCCCATAACCCATAAGGCTCTTGAGGGAAACCAGAGTTCATAACCCATAAGACAGGGGTCATTTGTTTAAAAAAACTGAGGGAGGCTTGAAAACCTCTAAAGAATTAAGATAGAGATTTACAGACAAACTCTATGGACACTAACCTTATTTAACTTTCACACACCACACATCACAAACTCAATTACATTATACTGTTGTTCTTGAAAAGCTTGTCCAAGTTTTCCCGCCAAGCTGCTCGAGTTTTGCAGGCAAACTTGGACAAGCTTTTTGAAAACAACAGTACTTCCTGAAAACTTGTCCAAATTCAGTGTGGCCAACATGAAGGTTTCAAGAAATTTGAAAACATGCAACAAGAAGCAAATGAAAAAGAATCTATAGTAGGAAATATACCTCCACCACCACTGGCACGGCCTACCCATCAAGAATTCCTCAAAGCCTTAGATATCATGCTATCTTACTTGGAAAGTGACAATGCACAAGAAGTGTGGGGGTATGAAAGGGCCATCTGAGCCTCTGTTGAAGACTGCCAATTACTACGTGTTAAAGCTGCAAAGCAGCAGACTCTCTCTGATATGTTTTCAAGGTTTCCTAACAAGTCTATTTTTTGCTTTGTACAATCTTTGTCATAACCCATATTTTGTCTGCAAATATATAAATATGGCTTTTGAAAGAGATTGAGGTAACCTATACTCTAGCAAAACCCATACTTTTGGGCCACTTTTTTTGGGTATGGGTTATGTCAGAGACAACTGTATACCTTTCTTCAATTCAATCAGGTGATGTACAATCTTCACCACTTGAGTAAATCTATTGACCTGTACTAGCTAAGCAACATCATCAATCAGCTATGAGGTATTTGACTTTGCTGCTTGGCTTGGGCTCAGTGCACATATCAACAATTGATGTAAGAGTAATGGCCTACCAGAAATTTCCTTCTTGGAACTCCGTAAACGGAGATACCCATTCTTACATTGCTTCAGTCCATCTGTGGTTGAGAGGCCAAAGGCCTGGGACCCATTGGTGACCATTACTGGCTACTGGTTTTTAAATGAAAAGCCTGAAACTATCCGCAACAAGACACCAGAGGATGAGATCCCTCAAGGTCTAGAACAATTCATCCACAGAGCATGGGGCAATAGGAAGAAGATTGTTTATATTGGATTTGGATCTGTATGTTTGCATTTGGTCCTGCTGTCTCTCCTGTAGATACCTGCTCATTATTGAACTGTGAGATGCCTTTAGGTCATAGTTGAAGACCTACCAAAGATGACCAAGACCATTGTAAAAGCAGTGAGTGATGCAGAGGTCTATGCAGTTGTCTCAGCAGGCTGGTCAGGACAAGAATCAAAGGCTTCAAATGAGAAAGGCCCTGAAGTGGTGAAGAAGAATGAGCTTTTTACAGAAAATATGTTCTATATAAAATCAGTTCTGCATGATTGGCTTTTCCCTAAGATTGATGCAGTGGTACACCATGGAGGAATAGGAACAACAGCTGCCAGCTTGAGAGGTATGTACTCCAACAATTCAACTTCTCTATTGCAAGTCTAATTTTAGAATAAATTGGAGGTTCTGATGTCTTGAAACTCCCTTGGATCAGCTGGAATACCAATCATCATCAAACCTTTCATTGGTAGATACCATTTCTCACATAATTCAATAGCAAACTCTTGACTCCTATAGTTACTTTGACTAATGGTAAATGATTATATATTTGCCACTAGCTGATCATAAATTTTGTAAGTTGATTCATTATGTTTGTTCTGCAACTACAAGAATTGTTGAAGCTGAGGCTGTCTGAACTTCTGTGAAAACTAGGGGCCACAAGGGTGAAATATCTAGGGGTGGGCACCAGCTTGAAAACTTTTGATACAGAAGAACTATCCAGGGCTCTTAAGAGTGCCACACAAGATCCTGACCAGATTGCACGGGCAAAGGAAATTGGAAGGAAGATAAGAGAGGTGAGCTTGTGCACCAGTGGCAAATCTAAAATGTTGCAAGCCATTCTGAAAATGTGGGTTTTTTTCTCACAGGAAGATGGAGTTCAAAATGCCATCAAATTCATATACCAAGTGAGATCCATTCATAATTAGGCACTCTCAAATACCATCAAATTTGATTCTTTATCACTACTGAGAATTGAATCTGATTTTAAATAGCAATATGAAGAAGCTAGGAAAAGGAGTCAGCAATACTCACAAAATTCCAATAACTTCAATAACCAAATAGCTAAAATGGAGATGTGGGTCAAAAAGGCCTTCACAATGTTCATATTCTTGATCACCTTTGCCCCTCAGATGATCTACTTGGGTGCTCAATCTTTCATCAAACCAAAGAATCCCTGAGCTTGAAGACCAGACTTTGACACTTTGATTGTCAAGGTGGTAGATTCTTCTTGCTATCTTTTGATGGTGCTGTCAAAAATAAACATTCTCCAACATATGTACCCTTGGTTTTGCCTGCTTCTACTTTTAAAACCAAATTTCTTGGTCTTCTTCCAAGAGTTCTTTCTGTTTGGCTGACTACTTGAACTGCAAGGCAGTGTTTTCCATTGTTTTCCTTTTTTCAGAATTACCCAACAAATAAAAGATTTGAACTCTGGATTGGTTTGCAAAAAGTTATCAAAATGAAAAAAATCAGTCATATTCCACACTCTCAGAGCATTTTCATGGAGTAACAAATGGAAATTGCTCAACATCCAAAGATTTAAATTGGAATATTGAATTTGAGTGTTGGAAGTGCTATGTCATTTTTATCAAGATTTCCAGAGAACCTTTGATAAGTCCTATCTGTGATATCCTCATCTCATCTAACACTTGGTCTTGAGTTCTTCTCTTTTCCACTACAGTTGCCTCTGAAATAACCCATATGCCCAATAACCTGTGCTCTACATTGACTCATGGGGTTTTAGCTCCAAATTTTTTGTGGATGGGGGAAATGGGTCAGAAACCCATGAGCTCACCATTTCCCTTACCCCATATATTTTTTTAAACCTGCAAGAAAACACCCATAGTTCCCCCCAAGAAAAAAATAAGATACTGCACAGGAGACTCTTGAGACACCTCTCAAAGCTCTTCATAGCCATCTGACTTCATCCATTCCACACAAATCATCATAGCTCAACACAATTCATCACAGTGTCAACTCTTCTGCCAAAAAAATGCTTCCTAATGACTTTTGACTTTTTTCTGTCTCAAAGTGATGGAGAAGGATTTGCTAGATCGAAAATTGAGAAGATCAGTGTATGATCTTTATACACCAGCTGAGGAGAAAATCATTGATGATGTGTGGCTCTTTGGTACAGCACTCCCCAAAATACTAGTACAGCCTAGCCTCTTGTCTTTCCTTATTCAATCATTTTGAATCTGCAATGAAAGCACTTCACAATAATGTCTAAAATTTCTAAAAAAATCTCTGCAATTACCCAAGAATCCACTGGTATGGGTTATTGTAGAGAATCTTGCTAACCTATCCTGTATGAAAACCCATAGCTTGTGGGTTCCGTAAAATGGTATGGGTTATCTTGGCAACAACTGTCCTGGTGACAGTGTGTGACCATATAATGCACAAAGAACCCCACCCTTGTTCATATCCCCAAAAAACCACATCATGCAGCTTTTGTGCAATGACAGAAGGTGCAGGGGGGTAGTGTCATTCAGAAGTCTGAATAACTCTTATCTGTGTGCAATCACATCCATATCAGGTAGAGCTCCAAGTTCCATTGACTTGGACTCATGATCACACTGTATATTGAATGTAAGAAGTCCTAAATTATTTGATTGAGACAATAGATGGCCCCTTCTGGTGTGGAATTATATGTAAGGTTTTGTAATATTCAAGGTCAAACTTTGTGATCTTGAATAACAACCTTCATTGTCATTGTTTCTTTTTCTTTCAGAAATAAGTCAAGTTTCTCTCACTTCTGCTTGATTTTCAACTTTTTCCACACAGGATCTCATGTAAAATAAAACTCTTCCTTTCCAGAACCTAGTTCATCACAACAATAAGCACACTGAAAGTATCTTGATTTTAGAGGAGCAACATTCCTCCTATAAATCTGGTACTAAGCAACATTTCAATTTGGTCATAAAACACCCCAGAAATTGTGATCAGGCTGGGATATACACAAGTTCAGATTGATACATTTCTGCCCACATACCACAAATCATGGGAAGAGCACAAGACCGGAAGAGCACAAGACCTGATAAAAAACTCCACAAAGATACTTTGATGTGTTGAGCTTTTATACAATCAGGTACCTGCTGTCTGACTGTTTTCTTGGAAGATGAAGTCAAGTTTTGAGTCTTGAAGTTTTGAGTCTTGAGGCCAAATCCTCCTCTACTATCCTCCCACTGAAAATTCAAATGATGTTGAGAACTTCTTGGTCAAAAAATACTAGTCCCATCTAAACTTCTAGGCAACATACACGGATTTGATAATGAGCTTTGGAGTCCGCTCAGACGGCTGGGATGCATTTTTGTCAAAAAAATCTCATTCATCACAACATAGCCTTCAGAACTGCCAATGATAGCTTGCAATACCCTTACAAATGACTTCTTGCAATTTGTCAGTCCTTGAGTTTGAAGATTCTCCACAGACTTGGATTCAAATTTTTCACTGATTTGGCATTTTGTCTTCATTTTGAGAACCAAATTTTAAAGCGCACATCCAATATAATTCAGAATAACATACTACAGCTGGATCCCAAGCACAGGTGGTCATGATTCAAGAAAACAAAGATGAGGAGGAAAGCATTGAGCAACAACATCCCGCGCGCGAATTGTCGTGTAGTCTCGGGTCCAAGGCTTGTAAGCTCGACGCGATATAAGCATATGGTTATGCTTATAGATATTCCTTTACGCTCATCCCATTCTCAACAAAAAAGTTGACATCACCACCACCACCACCACAGCACAAGAGACCAGACGATATCGATCAAATTCACAAAAGAAAGGAAGGGAAAGAACAGAAAACACAGGACTGATTCAACAATCTCAGAAAATGAATTCATTCTACCGACAACATCTGAGACCATCTGGAGTTCAATTCTCAACTCAAATCTCAATCACACCATCTACTTCAAGGAAATCAATTCATCATCATCATCAATATCCTAATTATAAAGTTATCACCAATCTAGTCATCGCTCGTTCAAGCTACCTTCAACTTTTTGAAGTTTGTCAGTCAACTTTGACCAATGAATTCAAAGTATTTCACGTCTTGGAGCATCAACTTCATGGTATCGTCACTGGACTACAACCTATCACGACCATTGACACGCATGTAGATGGTTTAGATCGCTTATTAGTTAGCTTTAAAGATGCCAAAGTGAGTCTTACGATCTTTCTTATCATCGTATTTTGAAATTGAACTAACCTACCTTCTTGTGCTGGAAAGATCACGCTACTCGAATGGTCACATCAACAATCAGATCTAGTTCCCATCTCATTACACACATTCGAAAAGCTACCACAAATCACTCAAGGTGACTTCCCAACGATCTTTGACCAATTAGAAACTGATCCACAATCAAGATGTGCAATTTTAAAATTACCTCAATCTACAATTGCTGTCTTACCGTTCTTTCAAGAAAACAATTTAGATCTTGAAACGCTTTTTTCAAATTCGAATCCATCAGCTAATAATCAAAGAATTCAATCTTTCCCTTATGCTCCTTCTTTTATTATTGATTTAAATCAATCTCAATCTTTCAAGTCTCAAACTCAAACTCATTCCCAGACTCAAACTCAACAAAAATCAATCAAATCAATCATCTCCTTCAAGTTTCTTCCAGGATTCAGTCAACCTACATTAGCAATCTTATATACTTATCAACATACATGGGCAGGTAGATTGGAAAATACCACCGATAGTTGTTCATTGATCTTCATCACTCTAGATCTCTCTTCAAATCATTTTACAATCATCTTTCAAATCGATAATTTACCTTACCATGCACATTCAATCATGGCTTGTCCGAAAGAAGTAGGCGGTGTATTGGTGATCTGTGCAGACATGATCCTTCATATTGACCAATCTTCTAAACTGATCGGCATTGCCACAAATGGCTGGTCAAAACTTTCTACTCACCTTGATGTACCCACACAACAGATGGTCAAAATCGTAACTGAAGATGGTCAAGATCAAGAAGAACGTCTGAAGGTCAGATTAGAAAATTCTAAATTAGTTTTTGTTACTATCGATCGAGCCTTAATGTTCTTAACCGATGGTCAAATCTTTAGACTTTGTTTATACCAAGATGGTCGAACATTGATCAAATTGTGTTTAGAAAAATTTCCGGTGGTCTCCGTGATCCCTTCTGTAGCTGTAAAGATTTCAGATCATTCTGTGTTTGTGGGATCTATGCTGGGTGATTCGATCGTGATGGGGATCGAGTTTGAAGGGGAAAAAGAGGTTGAGGTTGTAGAGGAAGTGGAAGTGGAAGTGGAAGCTGAAGTGGTTCATCAGAATGGAAATGAAATGGAAATCGATCAGGCGGAAGAGGATGGTACAGTACACACATTCTCTCTCTCTTTATTTCTTCAGAAGAAAACCACCAAGCTTAAATTGATTTATTCTTGATTATTGGTACTGTATATGAACAATAGAGATATATGGGAAAGAAGAACCAGATGATAAGAAAACAAAAGATCAAGATGGTATAGATTCTATAATAAAAGCCACGAACAAGAAAATCCATCGAGAAATTCGAAGTTTGAGACTTCATGATTCCATCAGTGGCCATGGTCCTATTCGAGATTTTACCATGTCTAAGATTGGAGGATTCGAAGTCAGTAGGTTTTTTTATATCTGAGACAAAAAAGTTGACAGCAGAGGCTGAATGGATGGTGTTTCGATAGGATTCACTAGAAATGGTGGGGTGTACAGGAAGTGGAGAGACAGGTGGATTGACAATTTTCTATGTAAGTCATCCCAAAAGTACATATATAAGCTGGAACAAACACAGAAGTCTTGATGGTTTTTTGTAATATGGACGCGAAAAGAAAGAGATGCCATTGATGAAGCGTAAGAAATTGGATTCGACAAATGAATCGATGAAGATTACAAATTTGAATTCGATCGCTTTTAATGATCCCACTGGAAGTCCTGGATGTGAATTGGCTTGGATTTCAATTCATGATCGTACAAAGGTAAGTTTTACAGCCATTGATTTTGGTTGATTGAATTCATGGCATTGAAAACTGATAGGTTCGACTTTGATGATTGATTAGATCTTTAGCATGATTAAAAATCCTGAAGAAGGTAATCGAACAAGTGATCTAAAGTTTATGAAAACTTTGAATGCTTCAACGATTTATGTTGCTATGTTCTTTGATCAGACTTGTTTTTTACAAATCACTTCTTATGAGATCAAATTGCTAAAAGTCGTTGGTACGTATCTGCAATCATTGAAAATGATACCCTGATAAATGTCTGACTCGCTGATCTGGTTTGTATTCATTTTTTAGGCTTTGGAGAAGTTCAAGTCATTAGACCGATCGAAACGGAGAACAAAAAGAATAAGATAATCAGAGCAAAGGTCGTTCAAGATTATATTTTGTTGGAAACTAGTGATCATCGAGTGATGCTATACAAAGGCCAGGTGGATTCACTGACGATTGATCGAATTCAGTTACCTCAATTGGTTAGTATCTGACATCTTCTCTTGTTTGGAATAAATAGACAAAGATGTTCATTTGTTGTTTCGGGTCGACAGTCTAAACCTGTGACGTATGCTAGTCTTTTTAGCGCTCATTTACCACTATATGATCATGATGATCAAACAAATGGAATTGGCTTGGATAATGACGAAGACGCAGAAAAGCCTTGGCTATTTGTTACTGATCTTGGCGGTGTTCTACACGTTTAAGTCGTTTCATCTTACACTTCTTTCTCATTCTTGATGGGCAGAAAAGAAAGAGGATTGATCGTATATCTTTTGTGTGGTGGTGGTGGAATCCATTAGATCTTAAGTCTTCCCGAACTTGAGATTGTTTTTACTGTCAAAGGGATCGAGAACTTGCCTGACCTTCTAGATGAAGATGAGGATGAGGAGCAACAGCAACAGCCTGCAATTGAGTATGAACATGAAGACGGAGATGTCAAGATGGAAGAAGATGAAAAAGTGGAACCGAAGGAAAACTCGAGTATTCAGATGATCTATGGTTTTGTTACCGGTGCCAAGGTTGCTAGACCGCATCTATATGTAGGTGATTGTGATAGGTTCTAAGACGACTAGGAAGTCGACCAGCTGTAGGTGACTGATCTCGCTTTGGGTATGGAATTCAAATCTTGTGTAGGTAGAGTTGAACAATGGGGCACTGGCCGTCTATCAAATCTCAATCGCGTATGACCGCAAACCGGGCGACCCTTCAACCTCGAAACCTAGACGACAGGCTCTGTCGATAAGATTGAACAAAGTTTTAGGATATCAATTTGAATCATCGGAGCCTATATCGAATTTAGATCGAAAGGTCAAAGTGGTCAAGAAGAATGCCACATTTTCCGGAATCCATCTTTCAGGACTTGAACCGATCTGGATTGTTTCAACTGATCATGGCCCAGTCCAAATTTATAAAGCTAAAACCAATCAAACCATCACTTACTTGGATCAAAGTGATAAATTTTTAGTTAGTGATCATCAAGTTGAAATTTGGGAGTCGGAGGTGGGTGAAGGAGTTTGTCTGGATGGAAGAATTCCAGTTAGGTTAGTTAAGGATGGTAGATCTTTCAGTAAGATTGTCTACGAGCCAAAGATGGACGTTGTGATTGGAGCCTCATATCTTGTGACGCCCTTTGCAAATTTCACTGAGGAAGGTGTAATGATGTGGGAGCAGGATGGTTTGTCTATCTCTTTGTTTGATTTTCCATCTGGTATGTGGGATATAGGTTGACGTGATGATTCAGATGAGAGTAAGGTTAGACCTAATGGTTTCAGGAGTTCTTTGGAGCTGATCTTACCTGGAAGTTGGGATACGATCGATGGGTCAGTCCGCTTTCGCTCTCATATCACAATCCAAGATCGGCAATGTTTAAGATACACCACCTTGGGTCTTTCTTACATCACGGGGTTGAAATCACAGACACGAATTTCAACAAAATGAATGGGTGACATCGATGAAACTCGTCTCATTAGATTCGAAGTCCAAAAGGTCAGGAAGAAGAGATTTCATCGGGGCTGGAACGACGTGTAATCGAGCTGAGGATTTAGCTGCCAGAGGAGGGGTAAGTTCTTTGAACAGGAAAAGGATTCAAATGCTAGAGTTAAAATTGATTCTCTTCCGGACTAGGTATATGTTTTTGAAGTGATTGAAATTGTTCCCGACCCCAAACATCCTGAACGGAATAGAGGGCTGAGGTTGAGGTATCATGAAACAACCAAAGCTTGTGTAACTGCTGTTGATGGTCTGAATGGTTATTTCATCCATACAATGGGGCAAAAGGTAGATCCTGGTTATCCGCGCTCTCCCACTCGCAAATATAGCGACATTCTAGCTGATCAGATTATCGCTTTCTATTCAAAGCTGTATGCCAAATGCTTTGAGCAAGACGAAAGGTTACTCGCAGTTGGATTCTTAGATATCAGACCTTATACCACAACGCTCAAGGTATTGAAGAACTTTATCGTCTTAGGTGACGCAGTCAAAGGGATCACTCTTGTGGCTTTTCAGGTAATTTTTTTTGATACCGTTTCCTCCCTTAAAAAGACATAAAATTGATAAAATGCATGTGCAATATTATTTAGGAAGAACCTTACAAGTTGATTGAATTGGGCCATACTTTTGTCGATCTGAGGTGTTCGACTATCGATTTTTTGGTTTTGGAAAACAAGTTATCAATTGTGACTAGTGATTTAGGTGGGACAATCCGAATCTTTGAGTATAATCCAACTAGTCAGTCAAACAAAGTCTCGAGCTTCCCCTCTTTGTGTGGATGAGAAAATTTCCAAGATACTGATGCAAAATGTGTAATTATTGGTCAGATATCGAATCCCAAGGCGGATTAAAATTATTGTGTAGGACAGAATTTGGAACAGCTGGTGAGATGGGAAGTTCTCTTGGGTTTGGTAAACGATTGAGTTCAAAGGAAGAAGCAAAATCGATAGGTACACTCTTTGGTGAGCGCTCCTTTCGTATCAAAGACTAGTCCGCATCAATTTCTTATAAATATGTGTGGTCGGGCTGTTCGTAGCGGGATTGGATGGATCCATCTCTTCTTTGGTACCTGTGAAGGAAGCGGTGTTTAAACGCTTGCAAATCGTTCAGACGCGTTTGATTCGACATCTTGATCATTTTGCCGGACTCAATCCTCGTGGATTCAGGTCAGATCTTCCCTTGACTTCTACACAATTTTCCCGTCGTTCTCGGTCTGTCCTACTATCCTCTTTGGTCGGTTGCTGACTCAGCGTTTTGCCAATAACAGAACGGTACGAAATGATCTAGTCTCAAGAGCCATGAATCGAGGGATTATAGATGGCGAAATCATTGAACGGTTTGGAGCTTTGAAGCTTGATGAACAGGATTCAATTGGAAAACTTGCTGGATCAGATCGAAATACGATTTTGATTAATTTGAATAATTTGAAAGGGATTTGGTGATATGTATAAATTGAAATCATTTAAGATTAGGTCTGTTCGAGTTAGGAAACTTTATGATTTTGGTGGTTTTTCTGAAATGAAAACCCTTCAAGCTTGCTTAGGAATTTGATCGTGTTTGAGGGCGAGGTAAGCGACATGTTTGATAGGTATGTTTTGTACAAGTTATATACATTTAACAAGTCATAGGAATGGGTGTTTATTTTGGATATAGATCAGAAAGACACAAAGAGGAAAGAATGGACTGTAGATAGATTACATATACGCTATGATTGATGAAATAGAGATGTACATGTAATAGGAAGACTTATGACTAATGAGAAGAAGTTTGGTTCCACTCGTCATATAGCATCCCTGCGCCATAAATAAAACACAAGAGACTTGCTTTGCTTAGAATTGTTGCAGCAACTTCTGGACGTCTAGCCTAGATCCCATAAGTTATAACTTGAATTGTTTGTTTGATTGTTGAGCTGATTGTGATCACAGATGAAAAACCTCTGTGTGTACTTTCTTCTGCATATTTCCAGGGCAGCCCGCCAACAAAGTGTTTCTGATGCGGCACATATTCTCTTACTTTGGCTACTGTGTTGTGCTGTTACCAGGTGTTAATGCAAGTGTAGAAAGTGTTCACTGTATGTCTTGATGGGGGATGTCATTATTAGAAACAAGTGTAGACAAATGACCTCCCACTATAGGCAAAATCCAATGGACTCCAATTTGTTCTATGTTGAATCCAGTAAAACCATATGTGAAGGCTGATAACAGATTGCAGACCAGCACCCCACCAAGATCCCAGTCTCAGCATGTATTTCATCCCAGTGTTGAAAGATTTGGTGAGAACACAGCTCAGGTTTCATGCCAAACAATCAACCCAGTTCTGAGCCAGGGCAGCACATCAAAGCCCCAGCAATCCAGTACTTCAATGTGGCAAGGGCATGTGTAATCAAGCAATTGGTGTGGCAGGTTGTGCGGAGTGTAGGACATGGCCCTGGACGCAGCCTGACTTCTACAAAAGAGCCAGGAATGGGTGAGATACTTAACAAAGTTTTATCCAGCCAGTGTATTGAAAATACCTCCCATGTCTGCAATCTAATTTATGAGTGTTCCTATGTAGCTTGGAGGCAATGGTCCTGCAAAAAGGGAAACAGAACAAACAAATCACTAGTTTGATGGTCTGTGTTTATTCTATCATATAGCAAAACATGCCTTTGATAACAGTACACCTGAAAACCCGCCCTGTTTTATTGTGCAGCAATGGTATCAAAGACTTGTGCGTTCTTGGGGGAGTAAATATATATCATTGGGGTTTGCCATTGGCCCTCCAAAAAGGTAACACTTGAAGAAGATCATTGGTGAGTACCATCATCTGAATACTCACAAAACAACCCGTGAAAGTAGTGATCCATTAAATCTTTGTAGTGTTTCATTAAATCCTTCAGTTGTTATGCCGTCATGGAATTGAAACAGCAGCATTTTCATCAGCCTCACTTTCTCCTTCAATATATTTTTCTTCTTGGTATCATCTTTTGTTCCTGTTCTCTAAGCACTTGGAGAAATATGTACTTGTAGCAAAACATTTCCATTGCTGGATGCATTACATCCGGGGTTGATTAAAATTGAATTCAAAGGTGTTTCAAAGCGAGAGACTAATTAGCAAAAACTCTCACTTAAGAGTGGATCTTGGAAGTTTTGTTTGAGCCTGATGCCATGTTGCAATTAGAATTAAGACCATTCTAAGCTTAAAAAACTTTAGCCTCTTCCTGATCGCAAGCTAGGATGTGGCTAGTTGCTATGAATTTATCGGGTTCAAATTGGGAAAACATGCTCTCCTTTTGAGTCGAGCACAGTCAATTCCACTCAGTAACAATTGGCAGGGGGCTTTAGTGGGAAAGTGATGATAATCTGTTGAAGAAAGGTCAAAACTGCGGAAAGAATCAAGTACAGCACCAGCTCCAGGGAGTGGGGCCAATTGACAATTAGATATCTCTATGAATGCTAGCTCCTTGCTAAATCAAAATAAAGTGAATGTTGTGTCAGGCACGCCGTGTCATGTGGGTTCTTCAGTAGACATTCCAAACAAATGACTCGTGAGCTTCAGGTACCAAACTGCCATCATTCCAACAGAATATGTATACGAAGACCAATGATAGACCAAACACCCCCAGGAAGGAGATGGCGGGAGATGCTAAGATAGTTCAGATGATGTTAATGTTCTGGATGACAAGAATTGTTGGGTTAGTTTTGGTGATTTTGATTATGACACTGAGGGATTTGATTCGGGATGGGCTGACCTCCCATGATGGCGGTGATGATTGAAGTTTGGCCTGAAAATTGATTAAATTTAGTTTTTGACTTAACTGTATTGGGTGACTTAACTTTCTGTATTTAAACAGTTTCATTGAATTCGTTTTTCTCTCTTTCTCTCTTGACCAGTTTGAATAATTTCCATTACCGTCCTTCAAGGATCCCTTCAACCAAACTCATTGTTACCCATTTGACTTCCCATTCAATCATCCAATCTCTTCGATTTCATTCACCAAACTTCAATTACTACCACTCCTACCAACTTCAACATCATGTTAGGTACCACTAGACCTCGACCACTTGAAAACCACATGGATTCATCTCTCACAGCTCGCTTAGGACTTGATCAACAACAAGCTCCTCGTTCGTTTTCAAACAAACGTCGTCAAAATGACCCACTTGGACCTCGATCAAGCTCAATGGGACCAGCTCGCAAATTCAACTCACCCAAAGGCAAAGAGTCTAATTCTCCTCGAGACAAGCATCTTCCATCTGTCAGTCTCGGCTTTGTCTCTCGGACCATTTCTCATCATAAATCGGACAAATTCTTCGAAGCACTCCCTCCCGGCAGCCTCATCTCAAGCTTTATAAGACTTGCTCGATGACTGCACTCGCGCCTCAGCTCGAACTTTTCCCCTCGTCGCTGCCCGCCTTGCCTATACACTACTTTCCCTCTCAACCCGATCTGCACTGCTTCTGGAGGCTACATTTGTTCTTTATAATTTCATGCAACTCATCTTGATCTTCTTTCCCATCAGGCACGATCTAGAGTTTCTGGTCCACTTGCACCTACTCGAGCAGCTCTTCACCGTACAGGTGGTACGAAGCTTCGAGGTTCGCGTGGATCACCATCTACATCTCAACCCGAAAGTGCTATCGATATCCTTCGTAAACTTTTGGAAGCTCGATGGAATCCCGTCGCTCGACTTCTTGACCTTTCTGTTAGTTTGTGATCTCTTCCTGGCTGCCTTTTCTCTATACCAACTTTCTTATCTCGTCATCGTCTCTTTTCTTTTAGAACCTCGCGCAAGACAAAATCCTCAAGGCTGGAGGAATCGCCCCGCCCGGCCAAAAAGGCGCACCTCAAAAGACTGCCAGCGCCATATGGAAATTATGCCTCGAAATGTACCCCAATGTTCGCAACATTCTTTTTCTTCCCTGCCATTCTATCCATCCTGGCGGTCCTTGCTCATCAAGCTTTGTGTTTGTAGATCCGTTCACTTTCACTGGCACACAATAACCTGTTGTCTCTTCATCCGATGTCCATCAGCAGTCTGGTGGCTACTTTACCCGATCTCGAAAATATATCCCTAGCTGGAAATCGCCTCACTGCGTTTTCTGACCTCAACTCTCTCTCACCTGTTGTTGGTGGAAGCGGTCCCAACAATGGTCAAAAACAAGGACTCCTCCATCTTCGTGAATTGATCTTGATTGGCAATCCAATTCGTAAAAACGCCGAAAAGGAGGGACCACCCGCTCTACAGCAGTATCTTGCTGAAGCTTGTAGAAGATTTCCATCTTTGCTAGTCTTGGATACCGAAGTCATTGATCCCCTCTTCAAAGCCAATCTACCTCAGCAACCGGATCGCTCGCTATCCAACGCTATACAATCTGGATCAAACACAGCCCCAAGTGCTTCAAATCCGAGCGATGTTGTCGTCGAGAACGTACCATTACCGCTCCCTACCAAATCTGCTTTTTTCGACGATGAAGCTACTTCTTCAGTGGTGTCACGATTTTGTGTTCAATTCTTCAATGCATTTGACCACGATCGGCAAAGCCTGATGGATGTTTACGCGACGAATGCTACCTTCAGCCTCAGTGCTTCGACTATGATCCCTACTCGTGCTAGACTAGCGGGATTGACGAAGAATCGACCGGAGATGCCTGCCCAACAACTTCCATCGTGGCACCAATACATCTCTATCAGCCGTAACATCGCTAGGCTCAAAGGAAACAGTAAGTTACCATTCAACCTTTCGCCTTCTCATTAGGCCTTTCGGTTCAAATCTGACCATGCCTTGAACTCTGAAAATAGGACTAGCTGAACGGATAGCAAATGGTCCTGCAGAGATCATCAAATATTTGGACTTGATTCCTACAACCAAGCACCCGTTGACTGAAGCTGCCGATCAAGACAAATTTGTGGTCGATGCGTGGCAAATGCCATCGATGGTGACCGATGGCTCTGGAGTGATTTATCTCACCATTCATGGGCAATTTCAAGAACTTCCTGCCCTCACCGTTCGAAGCTTTGACAGGACATTCATGTTGGGACCCGCTGGTCCTGCCTCTGCGTCAGTCTATCTGTTCTTCTGACCTCATGAGAATTCCAACTGACTCATCTTGATTTGATTGCTGTTTCATAGGGCTGTTCTCAAAGGATGGCCTTGCGTGATTCTGACGGATCAACTCACAATACGCAATTATTCGTCACCGTCAGCTTGGAAACCTGATACCATCCCGACCCCCAATCCAACGGTTCAGCTCGTGAGTTGCATTATATATCAAGTCTTTGTTTCGAAACTGACACGCCAATCTTTTCCTTAGACTCCCGAACAACAAAACTTGATCAATCAATTTCGACAAGTTACCAAGTTGAACGAGAGGCTTGCGTTGGATTGTCTGCTACATAATGGGTGGAACCCTACACTGGCTATGGAAAACTTTCAAACGATCAATGCTTCAGGGGCATTACCTCCTGATGCGTTTGTTTGAGTTTTCTTCTTTTCTTCTTTTTGTTTGCCTTGCTTATTTTTCTTTTTAGTTTCTTTGTCACTCATAAGTAATTGGGGAAAAAAATACGAAACCAATAAAAACAAATTTTGTGTGTTTGTGAGTGATTATCATATGCATAATATATATGAGTGTCGAAAAAAAAAATCAGAAAAACAAAAAAAAAAGCTTTCTCAACAACAACTCATTCGCAAATTTCCAAAAAACCTTGCAAAAAAAAACTTGCTTCTTTCTCCTTTCTCCTTGTTTTATACACCACAAGATCTATATCCCTAAATTGTAACATATATATATACTTCAAGAATCCAATGCCATTAATCTTCTTTGTTTGTGTTTTTTTTGCCAGTTTTCTTTTTCGTGTGTTGTTTCAATTAAAATCAAACCAAATCAATCTTTTGGTTATTGTTTGTTTTTATAAAATTGATTGATTTTTTAACTTAAACAAACCGTGTCTCCTCTTTGGGAATTGTAAATGAAAATCAGATTTGTATCAGAACCTTGTTGACTGTTTTGAAAGTTTATGAAAAGGGACTTGAAAGAGATGAGAGCCAAGAATGTCAGACGAGATGACTTTAATGCTACCCCACCCGTTCAGTGTGCTCAAATCCAATGTTGATCAAACCCATCTTGGCAAACATACACGATCCAGTTCACCACCCTTCGTCTGACTCGACGCAGTGATCTCAAAGGATGTCTTCTTTCATTTTACCACTCACAACGCCCAGATTCGATCATGTTCACCATTCAAGAGACCACGATGCACCTCATTGCATCCCTCAAATCATAGCGTATGATTCAATAAATCATACGTACAGTCTAACATCACTCTACTTTGCCGCCAACAATTAAGATGCTGATGAATGGTATTACAATTTATGCATATATATAAATTAAAAAAAAAGGTTTTTAGTCATTGATTTTATAGAATTCCAATCAACTAGATTTAATTTTAATTTGATGAAAAGATCTTATAGAAATCGAACCGATCCAAAGAAATGAAATCCATATAATCAAAGTAGTGATTAATTCTATAAAGATTAAATCATTTTGATTACCAGTTGGAGCCAAGAATTGAATTGGATGTGATGTGTTTATAATCGGTTCATAGTCAAGAGGTTTAGCTATAATAACCAAAAAATCAAATTTTCTTTAGTTTTTGTTATACTTTTTTTTTAAGATCAAGGATTACTTACATCTATCACAAGACCAAACCAGTAAAGGACTAGTAAGATTGATTTCTAATGAACTAGGGTTCCAAGAATCAATGGGATTCAAATACCTAAGATGAAAAGGTACTTCTACTTCTACTAAACCCTTTGATTTGGTTCGAAACAGGTTTGTTAAAGTTGGTAAAGGAAGAAGTAAACTAGAAGAAGTAGCCAAAGAAATTGGTGATTCTAAATCTCTTGATCCCCAACTGATCGGTTTATTGAATTGATCTAAATTAGAATCATGTGAAGTGATGATGGATGGGTTCGGAATCAGTTGGCTTTCTAGAGTCTTTTCTTGTGATAAGTTTTCGAGTTGGAATCGATCAAAGAATAAAGCTGGATTGATCGATTTGAATAAGATTGAGATTATACATTCAGTAGGTATAGGTTTAGGTTGGGTTGATGATGATGGATGATTTGGTGTGAATGAGATTGATAGCTTTAGTCTTGGATGTTGACCTGGATTTGGTAAGAGTGAGATGTTCCATTGGATTTCTTCTTTTGATTTGGTTTCCATGTTCATAATCTTTCTTTTGACTTTGACTTTGTCTTCGTTGGTTCATCATCAAAGGTTTCCAAGATTCGTTTAGTCGAAGAACTTAAACCTAAATTTTGGTTTAATTCGTTTTTCAAAAGGCTTCTTGATCAACATTTCTCGCATGACTTCTTGATCAGATTGGCATGGAATTTCAATTTACAACTCTTTCTTTCTAAATTCCAACGGTTCTCCTTCGATACATACTCGTGGAGTCGTGAGCGATAGGAAGAGATTTGGTTACATCAGATCATTTCGCAAGTTTACCCCCACAACTTTATTCAGCAAGCTGGTGGGGAGGGACACGTTTTTTCTTTGCTGAACGACCATTGGAGTGAAACGATGAGAATTCGATTCAGATCACATCAGCTGAATGGAATGATGAGAAAGAAAATCGGGTCTGAATGATCTTCTTCGATCGAATGGCAACTACATAGTGGAACCAAGTCATCATGACCATGTGAATTCCAATTTGAATGACATCCGTATCTGAGTGATGAACATTTTCCATCCACAATTCAACTTCATATGTTGGTATGGGATTTTAAATCATGCAAAACTTTTCCTTCATCACCTTGCACAACTTATGAAGATGATTAAAGATACACATATCGGACCCGGCTTCTCACTTCGGTTTACGTGAAGGCTTCGGTAACTCTTAGAGATTCGATTGATCTGGTCATTAATCACGCGAAATCTGTCTCTCATCTCATTCAGGATGCGGAGCTACGGAGTCCGGACTCTGACCATGCGAAGAAAGCTTCGAAAAACACATTGTATGACGTTGCGAGAAGAAAAAAAAAAGATGACCATGATCTTCATATAAGAGGTCTATAAAAGAGCTTCTTGAATCCCAAAGCTGAATTGAAATTGGACGACTCAAAGTGAATTTTTCTCAAATCAAAGATTCGAGTCTTTTATACCTATAACCATTCATCATCTTCTTCATATCTAGAGCTGGGTCTCAAGATCATTTAATTTACAATCTTAACAAGATGTCTATCTCACCCAAGATCTTCTCCGTTCTTATCTCAGTTCTTTTAATTTCTTTTACCAATGGAGCTGTTCCACCCTTGGGTTCTACTAAGCTTTCACTTACTCCTAGTGCTGCACCTCCAAGTGTGATATCTCCAGAATCTTCGAATCTGACTTCATCATCATCATCTACTACTGGTACTACCCCAGCTCTTAGTACCTCACCTACTACTACCCCGGCTGGGAATGGTACTACTACTAGTACTGGCAGTGGTGGTACACACTCGGGTTGTTATGTATTCTTTAATACCAAAACGAAATGTGTAGCCAGAACTTCTAGTAACAATTGTCCACCTAAAAAGACATCGATTCAAATCGAACAAGTGAGTAAACTCCTCGATGATGTTTGATAAGTTTAAGATTATGAGGGAAAGAATTAGGTATTGATTGATTGATTGGAAATTGGTTTTTTTTAGTTGACTCCTGATGATCAAGGTCTTCCAGGTGGAAAGCTCGCAACTGGAGGTGTGATGCCTCCAAAAGGAGTTACTCCTCCTGCTACCCCTGTCAAGTTACACCGTGTAAGTTTTCAAAAATGATCAAGCTATCCTTTCATTCTTTGTGATCTCAATTAATCTTACTAACGATTTCAATTTCTGATTTTTTTTTGATATTGAAGAGATCGGTTTCGATGTTTCGAAGATCAGATGAAGGGGTAGTAGAAGCTATAGAGCCTAATGTTTTGGCTGCCGTTGTACCTCCGAGCCAACAAGCTTTGGGAACAGGACCACCCTTATCAGTTGGGGGTTCAAGTAGCTCAAGCTTAGCTACATCAAAAACTCCAGAGACTCTACCTGTTAACTCATCCAGTTCTGTGAGCACTCCAACTAAATTACCTGGTGGCTCGGTTTCTCCTCCAACTGGATCAGTTACAACCCCACCTGTCACTTCAGGATCATCATCAACAACTGAAGGTGTAAGTGATCAAATCAATCTGATTAAAAATAAATTATATAGAAACATTAATCCGATTTTTCTTTTGATCAGATTTGTGGAACTTATAACACTGAAACTGATCTAGGTGAGAGATTTCTTGAAAATCTGATCTGGTTTTAACAAATTCTTAATGTTCGTATATATTTTTTTGGGGGGCCGACCGGTTGGATTTGATTCTTAGGTGTATGTCTTTGGAGTGGATCTGATACTGATGGAAAAGATATTAGTAAAAGTGGTTGGGTTAGCAGGTAAGATTGGGTTTTTTCTTTTCTTTAAACCAATTTTCAAAACTTTAAAATTTATCTGATTTTTTTTATCTATCTTATGAACTGTTTTTAGTGCAATCACTACCAACTGTGGTCGAGAAGTGTAAGAGAAATCGTTTTTTTTTCGGGATTTCGATTTGTTATATTTGAGGTTCTGATTTTGATTTTTTGATTTTGAATCTTTAGTGCTGTTTTAAGAACAGGTCTTACTAAACCTGTAGTGCTTAAAGTTATTGATGGTTGTAACTTTGCTACTACTACAGCTGATGTTGGTTGCTCTCAAATCTATTTAACTAAGATGGTAAGTCAAATTGATAGGGTTCAATCATCTTTAATGATTCAATGAGTTGGTTTGATAACCTTGTCGTTTTTTTCTTTTCGGTAGGCTTTTAAGGCTTTGAATCCTACGGCTGAAGAAAATTCTTCTGGTTTCTTCAAAGATGCACTTGTTTGGGATTTGTAAGTGGTGATCTTCATTTAGAAATCTTGAATCCAATTCACCTTTTTTTTGACGATCCTTTGATTCTTTTTTTGCGCCGTGTGGGGGGGGGTTCTTTAGTCTTGCTGTTAGTAATCCTGCTAACGTTCCAGAATAAATGAATGGAAATTAGAAAAGATTTCACTCTTTTTTTTTGTGGTCGAAGCTAAGATTGATCTTAAGTTTTAAAAGAAAAATCTTATATGAAGGACAATTTTGAATATTTTTTTTTGTCAATTAATTCCAAAGAAAGAAAAAAAAATGAAAAAAAAACTTACACTATCTTTCTTTCTTTTTTTTAAAAACAAAACTTGTATTTAATTTTATGTAGAATTATAAAGGTAGATTTTTAAAATGTGTGAATTTTTTTTGGTTTTTGATAACTTTGAAAGTTAATATCAAACAAAACATTTGAAATTATATATATGTGTGTATAGGATTTTGTTTCTGGTACATAGTGGTACATACTGAGAACACTAAGATTAGGTAGAACAAGAGAAGAGAAAAAAAAACAATCTATGGTCCAGGATGATCAATGAATAATGAAGACGAGTTGGGAAGAGATCATGCTGACTTATAATGACCATGATTATCAAATCACTGAATTATATCAAGTATACCATTGCCTGAAGTTGATCAGCTTTTTACCATTCTCACATGTGTAATTACTTGATCCCAATCTGCAGTTTTAGCTGGTTATGATTGCACATCACGTCATAGATCATTGAAAGCTCATATTCAACGGAAAGACCCTTTTGGTGACTATATGATCATGAAGTCACTGGACACAAAGAACTAGATAGACTCTTTCAACCTATCACAGTCTCGAATACATTCCTATGAGATGCGAGCGTGCCAACTCGCTGTATAAGTTGATATCCACCTGGCCAAAGAAATAGCAAAATTATCTGTACATTGGTTTCCTGATCATAGAGCTCCTTATCTATTCAACTGATGACCATCTCATTATCATATCAGACAGAGTCTAGGAACAAATATTCTCAACACATCTCATCTTACTTAACCATCACTATAAATAATACATCACAATTCACAATTCAACAAACAGAACAAACAAAACAAAGAAACAAATTTGGGGCCGAGATGAGAGTCGATGATGAGCTAGAGAGCTGATAGATCGATTGAGGGAATCAAGGGTACATAGTACGCTTTTTAGAACGGTCCTGAGCCGATCTACAACGTCATATCACATGGCTCGGTTGATGTTTTGATACGCTGGTGAACTGACATCGTATGGAGATTGAAATAATCGCTTCTGCTCCCGTACCATCCATCTGATTTTGAAAGTAAATTCAAGCATGAGAAATGAGTTGGATTTGCAGAGACAAGTAGACGAAGACTCACTCTAACATATCTGAGATATGTTCGCGAACAATCACTACTACATCTGGCTCCATCGGAGTATGGGAGATCATTTCAGGAAGATTAACTGAAAAGCAACAAGAAATTCATATACTCAGACCTGTAAACCAATTTAAGAAGAACACAGAGATAGAGAGAAGGAAAGATGACTAACCAAACAAACGTAACAAATGTTCTGCACCATAGATATCACTCATTAATTTATTCTCTAATTCAGGTCGTTTACGAATCTCGATATATTGTTGACGTTCATATCGATATAATAAAGAATGACCAAGAGATTTATCAAAGTAAACTTTGATTCCGGCTAATACTTCACGTAGTAGGTTTTTGGATTTTGTTGAAGTTTTTGAGTTGGATTCGTATGTTTCATATTCTTGAAAGATCATACTGACTGTCGGATTTCTTGGTAGTGTGACAACCTGGTTTAAGAAATCAAAAGTGTTCAGATCAGTTTGATGAGACCAAGATAGGAAAGAAGGGATTATAGGATTATAGTCTTACTTGATTCTTCCGTGTCACTGCTTCCCAATCGTCGACTAATTGTAACTTTAACGGTTCTGGAATCACGATCCGAATATTGGGTCTTTTTGAAGGTTCTTCCTCCTTAAGACGTCCAGAAAGAAACCGAATGAGTAATCCGATCCGTTGAATCAAAATGAATAGAAAGATAAACCAAAAGCCCGTACAGTTTCAATCACGATATCTCGACTCCTTTTTGTACCTCTTCCTTCAGGTTTCTTACCTTTATCTAAACTAGATCCGATCCCTAACTTATCCTTGATGATCGATTTCTCCGGAATATCTTTAAGTCTTCTAGCTTCATTTAATTCTTTTTGTTTCCTTAAGTTATCTTCATTTAATTTTAATAATCTATCTTCTGGTACCCATTCATCCCATGATTGTTTCCATCCTTTGTAATGTACCCAATAATGTATACCTTTTTTGGAGTGTGATGGTCCATCACCTTTCCAATCTTCTGCTTTGAGGACCTGATTGAGATCGATAACCAATTCAGACACGATGGATCATTTCAAGACGTAAGATGATAGTTTGAGATATCTTCCAACATAATCTGTTCAACTTACCTTGGCTTCATAAATTAAAGGTCCGTGATAACACAACACGCGTTCATTCTCCGCGAATGCCAGTTTGACCATTTCGCTTTTGATAGGACTCGCCCGGCGATGTAGATATTGATACGAGAAAAGTACAATTAACGATTTATTGTAGGGCTTGAGGTTCTAGTTTGAGATAAATGATATTGCCTCAGGTTGTTTTGAGATGAGGATCGCTGCTGGTTCACGTCTATTGGCAGCAATACATTCAAGTGATACCAGTCCCGGATCCACACACTTGCAGTCAGTTTAGGAATCTATCTGTTCAAACTGATATAACATTACTTCACTCACCTCTCAAGCTAATAATCTCAGTTGGAACTTCATCATCCTTTGTTCCGCGATAGTAGTCATGATAAACTTTGTTTGTTTAACGTCCAAAGGAACTTTGTGCTCATCTGCATTGGTCGATGTGACAGCATTGGATTTGTACATATGCTTCTGTTAGGGGTAGTATGTATTTAAGTACTTTCTGCCATAGTTTTGTCTGGGCAAATACCACAGGCAAGCCACTTGCTATGTACAGACTCACTCAGTCGAATCTCAATTTTATCAATCGAACTAAACCCAACCCAACCCATCCCAAACCACTCTTTGACTCATTCCAAGATGCCACCCAAGACTAAATCTAGTGCGAGTAGAAAGTTGAGAGCTATCTCTAAACCAGGTCCCATCAAACAACATGTCAAAGGTATTATCTTTTTTCATTTATTTTTCATTTCTCATTTTTCATCGTGAGTCGAAATATTAGATTTATTGACCAAGTTTTATTCTCATCAGGTGAAAATTTCTATCGTGATGCTTCAAAGGCTAAACGAGTCAAGATGTTATCCATCGATGGAGGAAAAGCCATTAGAGATCGAGATGGAACGATTCTAAAAGCAGCAGCTTTCCAATCATCTGATGCACCAGCTGGTCGAATCCAACCTGATCGACGTTGGTTTGGTAATACAAGAGTGATTTCACAAAAAGCTTTAGATCATTTTCGAACTTCGCTTGCCGAAAAACAAGCCGATCCTTATTCAGTGATCTTAAAACAAAACAAATTACCTATGAGTCTTTTACAATCAGATGCAGATAAAGCGGCTGAAGGTGGTAAAGGAATGAAAGTCGATCTTGTGACGGCTGAACCGTTTGATCAAACCTTTGGACCTAAACAAAGACGAAAACGACCTAGACTTAGTGGAGCGGGTACATTTGAAGAACTTTTAAAAGAAGCAGAAGATTTAAATGCGAATAAGAAATCCAAATCACTTGCAGGTGAAAAACTACCACCGGTGGATGGATTAGGTGAATTTATTGTGGGTGCAGAGAAACAACTTGAAGAGATAGATGATGGGAATGATGAACTTCATAATGTAGCTGTAGATTATATTTTAAGTGCTGGGACTTCTAAACGAATTTGGTCAGAACTTTATAAGGTGATTGATTCGTCCGATGTGATTCTACATGTTCTTGATGCACGGGATCCGCTTGGAACGAGATGTTTGAGTGTGGAGAATTATTTGGCTAAGGAGAAGCGTGGTAAGAAGATGGTTTATATCCTTAACAAAGTCGATTTGGTCCCTGGATGGGTTGCTGTGAGTTTTCTGCTCTATAGTTTCGAATGCTTGTTTTTTTGAGACCAAAGCTTCACAATTATCAAATATTTATCATTGACCTTCTATCATCTGCGTCAATAGGCTCGATGGGTCAAATATTTGTCGAAATCTCACCCTGTTGTTGCTTTTCATGCTTCGATCAATAACTCGTTTGGAAAAGGTTCCCTGATTCAATTACTACGACAATTTTCATCCCTCTTCTCTGATCGTAAACAAATCTCAGTTGGATTTATCGGGTATCCTAACGTCGGTAAATCATCGATCATCAATACATTGAAAAAGAAGAAAGTTTGTAATGTGGCACCGATCCCGGGAGAAACAAAGATTTGGCAATATATCACCTTGATGCGTAGGATTTATCTAATCGATTGTCCTGGGATCGTTCCTCCTTCATCTAAAGATTCAGAAGCTTCAAAAGTATTGAAAGGTGTGGTTAGAATCGAACATCTATCATCACCTTCGGATCATATTCCAGCTCTTCTTGAAAGAATTCGACCTGAATATATGAAACGAACTTATGGTGTTGAAGATTGGATTGATTCAGAAGATTTCTTAACTAAACTAGCTAGAAAGTCAGGAAAGCTTTTGAAAGGAGGTGAACCTGATTTACGTACAGTAGCTACTTCTGTACTGAATGATTGGATTAGAGGAAAGATTCCATTTTATGTTCCACCACCTACTCAAATCCCTGGTATGAAACCTTGGACTAAATCAATAGATCAAGAGGATATGAAGAATGAAGAGACTGAAAAGGTTCTTGAGTCAAAGAAGAAAACACGTATAGATGAAACTGGAGAGAAAGTTGGATATGTGAAAGGTGTTGCTCAACCATTACATCAAATCGTTCGATCTAATAAATTCCTTGATGTTGATGAAGTGGGCGAGTTTGAACATGCGGACGTCGATATGGATCAAGATGGAGAACGGGTTGAGAATGATTTAGATAATTCTGATCTTGAAATGGAAGATGAGGATGAAGAAGATGAAGAGGTTGATGCTTGGTCTGGAATTGGAAGTGAGGATGAAGAAGATAGTGACTCGGAGCTTTGTTTTGAAGATCTGGTTGCTAATGCTGCAGGAGCTTCAAATTCAAAAGTGAAATCTTCTAAGAAGTCCTCTGTTCTTCCTGCTGAGGCGACAGTCGAGATCGAGATGACTGGTGAAGGTGAAGATGTCGATGCTGGCTCGCAAAGTGATTTGGATGATGAGGATGAGGACGAAGACCTAGATCTTAATCTTGATTCAGACACTCCGACTCAAAAGACTTCAAGCAATACTAAAGGCAAACGAAAAGGTATGTAAGATTTAAAAGCGATTTGATCCTATTATTTGAACTAACTTTGGATCTCATGGAATTCTCATTTGGAATCTTTTTAGCGAACAATGCAGATTACGATTCAGAAGAAGAAACTACAAAACATACCAAAGATCCTCGTATGAAGACAAATAAAAAGAAAGCCGAGAATTTCTTTACACATGCAAAGTAAGTGATTTTTTTCCCAAAAATATTTTGTTGATCATCTGTATCTGTTGTACTGATTAAACTTGAGTTTGTTTTTTTTTGGTATAAAAGTGTTAAAAATAAAAATCGATCTAGACAAATTCCTAAAGGAAATGAAAATGGAGGATCGTCAAAGAAAACTAGTAGAGGTAAAGGTGGAAAGAAAGGTAAAAGGTAAATGATTACATACTTGGTGATTGGATTTGAGTGGTTAGTTTGAGGTTTGTGATCATGAAATGATAGTTATTACTTTGATTCTCTTACGTATCTTTTTGACTGGGTAAATGATTTATTTGGTTGGATATGATTTGGTTTCGGATCGGTTTCTTTTTGATGATCAGTGTGTGGTGGAGTTTGAGGTGTGGTAGATCTGATCAAAATTAGATTGTTTCTAACTTTTCAAGTCATGATGTGTATTTGAATCATCCATGATGGTTTCTTTTTATGATCACGGTCTTGATCACTTTGAAAACATTTGATCTTTGTTCATTTTATTATGCTTTCTGAATGTTGTGAGATTTGGTATAGATCTAAGAGTCTACTTCGCTCTGTTGCTTACAAGTGAGATATACATGGTGAACAAGAATGATATTCTGTCATGAAAGTCGCTCGGGCAACTGAAAGCCTCAGACAAGCCTGGTCACCTCAAGGCTCAGACATGCTGCCTCTCTTGGACTTGCTCGTCTTTCCGAGAGAGGGACATGCTTGAATTCAGAGAAGCTGGCTGATGTGTTACAAAGAAACCAGTCAACATTTTACAAGTGCAACACATCTAATTTCCGGAAACGCTGATGAACCCGCTAGGCTTGAGCAAGACTTGCTGTTTTTGTGGCCCACAGAAAGACATGACTAAAGCGTGTAGGACTCAGGAGGGTAGTTGTTGAAGTTGTGATTTACGCTATTAGAGTCAGATCTTGATCGGTTTATTTTAACCAAGTCCTTCGCCAGGCCTCACGAGGGGTGAGGGACCTTGTTATGTCATAATTTGGTCAAATATTTCAAGTCGGGCAGCTTTAGACCTGTGTAAATAATTTCAGACCCCATGAGTTGCTTCACACAGCAAGCGAGACAGAATCTGAAGAACTACTCTGATTTCAGCACTCGAGACTCCAGAAAAAGTACGCACGATCGGGATGCATGAAAGATGGCAACAACGCGACAAATTCTTCGAAAGAAGTCGCGTCGTTGCTGAGCGAATTCGAGTCACAGGTTGTTAGACTTCGATCAAGCGACGGTGCAACTTGGCTCTCACGAGATATCGATCAAGTATACTCGGATATTGCTTTACCCATCACAGCAAGGACGCGATGAACAATTCAAGACCGAATTTGCAGCATCCTCTTAGCAATGGCGGGCTTAGCAAACGGATCAGAGCTTGTTTCCAGATAAACAGATCACTGAATCGGACAAGACGATCCTCCGCTATTATGATTGCCTTGACGGATATATCATTGGTGCTCTGGCGTAATTTAAGTTTTTTGCTAGCAATTTTCCATTTACTCAATCAATCGCTAGATACTCCAGGCGTCTGTTTATTTTACACTTGAAGCATAGACTCAGCCATGCTCTTGCCTCAGTTTTTAGTCAAGTTTTGCTTGATATGTTTTTCTTCTCTTTCGATAAATACATCCTCTTCAAGGTCCGCTCGTAAGCTGAACACTCGAGGCCGTATACATTGGTTTGGTAGCCATTCGCACAACCCACACTCGATTTCGCGACGCCGCCAGTTATCATCAAGTGACTCGACAATCAACTCGACAAATAAATCGACTGGCTGCTTCAATTACTTGATGAAAACAAATGGCTGCGTATCTTCAAGTCCTCTTACAAATTGTGGCCCAAAATTTGCGGCCAAAGAACCTGTTCAACTTGTGAGTCATTCTACCATTTTTTTCGAAAACTGGGAAAGTAAAGTATCTGAATATAACATCTACTTACTCTAATAGTTTGGAGCTTCCCTTTGGATAGCCAATATTGAATATTCCCCTGAAGTTTCTCTTACCTCGAATACATCATCACGAGCTTACAACACCGAATCAAACTCCCAATTGCTAGGGTCCACCATTGCACATAACTTGTCTAAATCAAACATCAATGAAGGCTCAGTCAAACCTCAAAACTCCATCATTTCCGCCAATACTTCCAGGACAGTTAAGACGAGCAAGGTGATCTCCAGTTCTAGTAACTCGACAGACTGCCTTTGTGATCAAGAAGGCAATTCATTGATCAATGGAACCCATACAAATTACTCCAACGTGAGGGTACCCAGTCTAAAGACAAATGATGTAACAGGATTCTCACGCATTCCTCTTGACCTTCTTCATCCCGACAATTCCGTCAAGAAGAGTCAGACTTTACAGGATAGCTCGAAAACCGCGAAGACAGACGATATCGCCAGATTCTCACGCATTCCTCTCGACCTTCTTTATCCCGGCGGGACTGTTGAGAAGAATCAACCTCTACAGGATAACACGCAGAATGCATTGATGGGATCAGAAAATGTAGGCTACAATGCAACTGATCACCTTCACGCTCAAACCATTGATGAATCAGATGATAATAATCAACCTTTACTTTCTCAGATCTCTTCTACACGGACGTCAAAGACTACAGGGGCAATCCAATCACAGACATTGAAAACTATGGACGGAGGCCAGAACACCCCGGTGACCAATGACAAAAATCTATCTGCATCTAGTAATCTTTCAAGCCCCTTGTCTGATAGTCCATCCAAGGACGTTGACCCCCAGGTTGTGGAGTCTGTGGATACTGATACATCAACCAACAAATTAGATTCGATCAAAGAAATTTCACCCGATCTTGTGAACAACACACGCCTTGTCATCTATGAAGAAGACGACGACGGAGAAGACGAGAAAAATGAACACAAGAAACCCTATGAGACTAGTTCCGCTGCAGAGAAAGTATCAGACACAGACAAGCTAAGTATGGAGAACTCTGTAAACGAAGTGCTTGCAGCACTCAACATGTCTCAGATGGGTATCTCGACCAAGTCTCACGATCGGCCATTATTTCTTGGCTTAGAGAAAAATGGTGAAATTCAACCAATCAAATCACTCAATGTCTCGGTTTCTTCAGATGATGAACCTGATCATTCGGAGAAGGAGAAAGAGAAACCCAGCCAGTCACAATCACCAAACATTACAAACGCTACAGTCGATGGATCAAACACGAATCAAGACTCACAATCCTCCTCCATCAACAGTACGATCACATCGAACTCTACTTCGGGGAACAGCGCATATCAACCTTCAAGTTCTATTGGTGATAACACTGTCGGGGATCATGGATCAGATGAGCACAAAGATACGCAAACCGAGAACGCGTCAAGTAACTCAAACGCGTCGGTGAATGTCACTCAGGTGCAGGGCGCTACAGAGGCTTCCAAAAGTGAGAATGTAAATGAGAGTAGCGATAATCAGGGCAAAGTAGAAGAATCAAATCAGTACTCCGATTCGCCAAAGCCCCCTTCCGAGTCAGAAAACAAAGACAGCATTTCAAGCTCGATTGATTCGGTGTCTGCAACTCCAGCGAGCACTTTGATTCGGGTGAGTGATTTTTTCTGCCTTTCTAACCCCAATTACCCATCATGTCAGCTTTCGAAAGGTTGTTTTACAATACTAAACTTGGATGGAAACCCGTAGCGTCAGATATCACCATCATTGATTTCATCCGATGCATCAAACCCAGCTATGGGACTCGATTCATCATCTCCGCAACCACTCCAAGCGCTTAACCCTGAGCCTTATCCAGAGCTTATCTCACCACCTATTCACTCTTATTCAAAAGGTATTTGTGGAGAGTACGATGGCGAAGCCGATTACGCCGTGTGCTTGTGGAGTGGATCTGATGAAACGGGAGCTGATGCATCAAAAAGCGGATGGTTGAACACGTTAGTCATTGTTTTTTTTCGTTCAAGACATGAAGAAAAATATGTGATGGAACAAAAATTTAACACGATTGCATCACTTTCTCTATCACCAATCTAGCGCAATAACTGGAAACTGTGGAAAAAGAATGTAAGTTTTAAATGCTATTTTTTTCACGCAAGGATTTACTTAACCTCGTTTTAAATTTGGATATGTTACAGAAAAGTAGCGCGACCTGGGTCTCCATTTATCATTGCAAGACTGATGGATGGTTGTAGTTTTGAAATAAAAGATCCAAGTATAGCTTGTAACCAGATATTTCTATCAAAACAGGTAAGAAGTCCTTTTGGGATTAATGAAACCCAAAAGAACGCCTTGACTAATATAGCTTTTACGTGACGCGCCTCATAGGTTTTCTTGTCAATGAAGCCAACACGGAAAGAGCTCATAACAGGGACTCTGGAGGGTGGTGTAATTTGGGATTTGTGAGTTCATTTGAGTAAACAAAATTCTATGTTGGGCTCAAACTAAAGTTAATTTTCTGATGTGGTTCAGCTTGACAAGTTCAGATCAAAATAGTGTGCCAGTGTAGGATAAGGCGTGAAGAAACTTCCGTCAAACCCTACTAGTTGAATCAGTCAAACAATATTTATTGTCTGTTCATATAAATCTAACTGTGATAACACGGTAAATTGACTGAAGACGTTGCAGGCTTACTGGGCAGGACCTCACATTTATTTATCTTTGCATTTTCTTGTATACCTTGTACTGTGATAGCTATTGCAAAATTATTTCAGATCATCATACCTTTGTAAAACGGATACCATGTGTATATGATTATCTAACATTTATTTGCAGTTATATTGGAAATGGATCAAAAAAATCTATCTATCCTCTGTTATGGCCCGAGGTCTGCCCAGCGTATGTACACGACTGCGGCACAGTAGACCTAGTCCAGCTTTGTATATAACCTGTCTAGCTCCAGCTCCCGGCTCCTTCCACATCCTTGTTCGTGGTTGGATCCCAGATGCTGAGCTTGCGCTCTAACAGGTATGCGTAATCTATCCTTGTTCGTGGTTGGATCCCAGATGCTGAGCTTGCGCTCTAACAGGTTATGAGTCCCAGTCGGTGATACCAGCTGTGGATGTCAAAGATTTTGGTTGAAATTTTTTGAGCGATCGATACGTACCAGGTGTTCTAATCCATCACCGAGCAGAAATAAAGATTCCGACAACAACATCGGCTCAGTTTCATAACAAACAGAAGTTTACCAGTTTTAAAAGATTCAGAAGATTGAGTGTTATCGAAGTTTCATTTTTTTACAAAATAAGAAGAAGATATAGTGTTTTTAAAGGTTTTACTGTTGATTTACAAATACAAGATCGCCATTTGATAGCTATTTCAAGCGTCCAAAGTTATATCAAGATTTATTGATCAAACAGTTTATCGGTTGATGAAGTTTATATTACTATAATCCGCTCCTACCTTTAGTTTTAGTTCCAACCTCTTGATGCCAGCGTGTTAAGCTGAGGACTACCAGTTTGATTTATCACCACTCAATACCTTTTGAAGATTTGTTTTATTAATTCCAAAGATGACTTATCAACTTCCTTATCAACTTCCCACCACCACATTTCCTCTATCTACCCCGAATACCCAGACACTGCCACCTGCCCTTCTGCAAGCTCTCCATCGACTCGCCACATTTTCTTCCAACATCCAGCTCTTAACATCTCAATTTGCTCCGCATCTCCATTTCCACGCACATCATTCATGCTTCTCCAAGCCTACCCCACAACACTTTGCTCGCCGCCGGAAGCCAACAACTCGCTCAACAGCTTGGCGATTACAAAACCTCACGCCTCCTGATCCCATCACTCACCTTCCAGCTTCAGGTGTTACACCCTCGGCTTCAATCGCTACATTGATCACAAATGCCCCACTGCGGCCGGTCTCAGCTCCACCATTCGACTCAACGCGACATACATCAAAAATGCCGAGATCAAGCTCTATACCTCCTTGTACCACTCAATCACGCACGCAAGCAGGGCCAAATAAACTAGTCCAATATGCTTTATCAAATCATCAATCTGATGAACCATTATCACAGAACAGCATCAAATCTCGATCAATGACTTCCGCAAGCACCGCGGTTGACCTGATCCGAGTCGAATGTCCAATCGACCAGCAACCTGTTCTCAACTCAAGACCCAAACGAGCTGCGCAACAGCCATTTCCACCGGCTGACTCTCATAATATCAAAAATACTCGTGATTTGCTTATAGACCTCAATGCAATCATCTCGAATGACTCAAGATTGCCTGTATCGGCCTCAGAAACCGAAGTATTGAGTGCTAGTATATCATTAACAGCCATAGATATCCCTAATGCTGCTATTGACTTGCTTGTTCCCACCACCGTCGGTCCAGCTCCT